GTCGGAGGTCGGTCTCATTCCAGAGACATCCCTCCCGAACCGATGGCCTCATAACTCGGTGCTTGAGCGCGACGTAAGGGAAGAGAAAGAGTGCTGTAGGAGCATCCACCTTCAGTCGCGATTGCCCTACGACTTCCACACCTACTCTTACCCTTACGCCTGCCTCTGGCTTTCTTTCGACCGAGCGAGCCACAGTGACAAGTCGAAGTCACAGTGGGAGGTTCTCACAAAGGCTCCCTTCGAGGGCATCCGCGCGTGTTTTGGACAGCTTGTCTATTACCGCAAGAAGGGTCCCTCGACTAGGGCTCTGGATCCGAACCTTCAGCCTGGTTTGTTTTTAGGGTGGCGCCTAGATTCAGGTTTGAGGTATAGGTTCGTGACCAAGGTCCTCGATTACACAGAGTTCCGTTCCAAGCGCAACACCTTGGTTGTTGACGTCCCGCAGGACGAGCTCTTTATCGATGAAGGCCCTCCTGTCTTTCCTGTAGCTAATGCCAATCGCCGCGCCCTGGTTGAAGGGGCTGCAGAGGGCGTGCTCCCAGACATTCCGCTTAAGGAAGTGCCGTTCCCGCCAGAGGGCAGTGACACTAAGCCTCCCCTTAGGGACCCTAAGGTTAAGAGCGTTTATATCACTGTAGAGCGCATCATTAAGTTTAAGGAAACCCCTGGGTGTAAAGCTTGCTACGGGAAAGCTACGGTACACACGCCAGAGTGCCGCAAGCGTTTCACGGAACTTGTTGAGAAAGAGCGCAGGGAGAAGGAAGAGCGTCGCTCTCTACCTCCCACTCCAGGCAGACCAGTGCCACCAACCCCCGCAGAAACTGTGCCGCCGACACCCGCTGCAGAAAGCGTGGCTCCGTCCACTCCTGCTCCTGTGCCGGAAGCGCCCGTCAGGGGGGACGCTGGGGTTTCGTCAGTTGCCGGTGCTGCTGTTCCTTCAGCGACAGCAACCAGCACAAAGCTCGCCGAAGCAACAGGTGACCAGCCTCCAGTGTTCGGTGTTCCCGCCGGTGTGTCTGCAAAACAAGCTCCTCAGCAAAAGCCGGTCTTCCAGAAAGGAGCCAACCGAAGGGCACGCAGAGCGAAGGTTAAAGGCAAAGGCTTTACAACCGTGTTTGAGTATGACTGCTCTCCCAGCTCAGCTCTTGGTAGTACCCACTCTGAGCTAGGTGTCCCACACCTGCGCCTGTCGAGGAAGTTCTTCAACCTCGAAGACAGCTGTGTTCAAGCCCAAGTTGCCGAACAACTTGACGCAGTGTCGAGCGCCCACCTTTGGGGAGCGCTGCCCAACTTAATTGGGTACAGGAGTAGGGAAGGCGACGCCGCTAGAAGAGGTGGTTAGCTCAGTTAGCAGGTTTTAAGAGCAAGTTCCAAACCTTTGCTTCTCACGCACGCCACGCCTTGAAGAAAGGCCATGGTTGCACTCTTGTGTGGCCTACCAACTCAGAGTGTTGGCGTCGCCCTTTTTGTGAAGGAGTTCCTCTCCGAACACAAAGACACTTTGCACAAGGTTGAGGTTCACGGTTGTGACTTTGGTTGGTGGGGTAATGACGACAAACCGCTTCATGCCTCATTCAGGTTTTACACCACCTCAACCCGCTTAGTTGAAGTGCTAGGGAGGTTCCAGAAAGAGCATCAAGTTGAGGAGTGCTCTAAGAACAAGGGTGTTACACAGCATGTTCCCACAGACATGCCCGCACTGCGTCGTCACATTGTGTTTGCCCTCAATCACAATGCTCAGGCACCCATTGCACCTGCCATGCCAGTGATCCCTATGCAGGAACAGCAAGAGCATCGCACGAAGGAGCAGGCTTTGAGGCACGTCTCACCACTCGCAGGTCTCGAAGACTTTGCCGCTGTGGTGGAAAGTGACCCAACCACAAAGCGCATCGTGGAGGAGATTGTGGACCTGAACGGTTTAGTGTCGCAAGTTTGTGGCCTAGACTGGGATGGGAAGCAGTCAAATCCGGAGGTTGCTGCTATGGTTACCAAGCTCCTTTCGCGCGCAGAGATGCTCGCCAGCCCGGAGGCTCTAGCAGCTCTTAGGAGCGAAGCCGATGGCCTCAAAGCTGTTCCCGTCTGGGACGAGGCCCATCCCCGAGAGTACGCTGACGTACAACGGGAAGCTAAGAGCTCCGGGGCTAAGGTTCACTTTGGTAGGTTAATGACTATAGTTTCGATTAAGTTCTATGAGCTGGCGAAGCACCTGCAAAAGCTCAAAGGGCGTATCGCCTATAGGGGTGACTGTGCCAAAGACGAGTACGGGGCAGCTGCTGTGTACCAGGAGCTGGGTGCCAACCCCACTCCCGCCCAGGGGCTCAACAATCGCCCCAACCACACGGCAGATGCGATTAAGGCATACGTTCAGGCGTTGCTGAAGTCGAAGCATCAGACGTGGATTGAACTTCCTCCCGAGCTTCGCCCGAAGTGGTGGAGAGAGAAGTTCGCCCGGCCCGTTGTGTTGCTGCTTCGTGCCCTCTATGGCCACCCCGACGCAGGGGGCCTGTGGGAGAAGCACTTAGCGCACATCATTAGGGGCCTTGGGGGCAAGGAGGTTCCAGAGTTTCCCGGAAACTACTGGTTCCCCAATCGCAGGCTTTTGTTATCGACATATGTCGACGACCTGACGTTGTCAGGGCCAGAGGCAGAGCACCAAGCCTTCTGGGACGAGCTCACTGCTCTCGTCGATGTCGAGCCTCCTGAGCCCGTGTTTCGTGTCCTGGGGCGCAACCACTACATCGTTGATGTAGAAAGTGAGGCAGCAGACATGCCGGCAGTCGCTGCAGCCAAGGACGCAATGTCATTTGATATGGTAGACTACGCCCAGCAAACCGTAGACCTCTACCTATCATTGACAGGGGCCAAGAAGCTAAAGAGCGCCCAAACGCCCTTCTGCCCTGAGGGGTCGCTTCCACCATCTGACGACGATGTCGGAGGTGAGTTAGCGCCCGCTGCGTGTAAGTTGCTTATGAAGGCATTATGGTTAGGTCGCTTAGCGCGCCCAGACATAATAAAGCCAATAGGCGACTTGGCAACCTGCGTGCAAAAATGGAGTCGCAACAACGACCGCCAAGCGCACCGTCTCGTTTGCTACATTGACAGCACAAAACACCATCGTTTAGTGGGGCACGTCAACGACAGCCCAGACGACCTCAGGCTGTCTTTGTATGTAGATGCAGATTTCGCGGGCGAGAAGGCCCACGCGCGCAGCACTTCAGGGGGGTATTTAGTTCTTTCAGGCCCTAATACCTTTTTCCTTTTGGCTTGGGTTAGTAAACGCCAGACCTCTACCTCCAGATCCACCACTGAGTCTGAGATAGTTTCCCTGGCACACTCACTGTACAGTGAGGGACTTCCCGCTTTAAGCCTGTGGGACACGCTTCTTGGCAGAACCATGCAGATGACTGTGCATGAAGACAACCAAGCCACGATCCTCATAGCTCGTAAGGGCTTTTTCACCGAAGCTTCGCCACATCTCGCGGACGCATAAAGTGAATTTGTCTTGCCTCTCAGAGCAACTCGAAGAGGGCTCTGGGAGTCCTCTGTGACAAAGGGGTAGCTTGGTTGCGCCAACCGGTTTCTAATAGATTGGTATGGTTCCAGAAACGCATCCCAAAGATGCGTCTGTTATCATTTGATTCTAAATCGCCAGTCCGAGCGAGTAAGGGGGGCAGCCTTTTTAGCGCCCGCAAGCACCAGTGCACGAGCGTCCGTGCCGCAGCCCCCGCTCGCACGCCCTAACTCCCGGCATGAAGCCATTTTGGCGTCGGTCGAGAGGGCCCAGCCTTTTGCACTACGATGTGCACGGCGAGGGGGGAGTTAAGAAATATCGACCCCTAAGCACCTAGTAGTGGTGTAGTAAAGCATAGCTTCTAGGCCTTACGCCGTAGGCTCAGAGAGTGTTCGTTTCACACCGAATGTTACAATGTATTTGGCTCAAGACATGACAAGGAAAAAGGTGTGCCTACTAGCTAATTCTGCGGTAGGCCTCTGGGTTGGTTGTGTCTTGTTCTGTTTAATTCAGACAGCCTTGAAAGGGGGGGGGCAAGGGGTGATGCCATGGGTGGGGTGGTTGTAGGGGGTGTAGCAGCCCGAGACCATATATATATATATATATATATATATATTTTTGTTTCTATATATATATATGAAAACGTACGTACATACATAAGGAGCCGGATAGTCACTGCGACGCAGCCATTTCAGCGATCTTGATCTATGTTGTCCACGCGAAAGCACAAGCTGGTGAAGGGACGAGCAGAGCCTACGGCCTGCGACACACAAAGCAATCAAGACGCACAAACAACAGAAATCTGCAGCAGAGGTGTCCGTAAGCCAACGAAACTGCAAATCCATTGACGGGCGGAATCTGGTGGTAGATCCACAGATCCACCTCGGCTCCGGTCCAGTGCCAGCATGGCGGCCATAGCGGCGTTTGCTGTGCCGTAGCTCGGCACCCGCGCTGTAAATTACTGTGCCTGCGATGTGCACGAAGCGGCGTGCCTTGGTGCAGTCGCGCTGCAGATGGGCTTCACTGCACCATGGCACCAGTCCATCACCTTTTGCGGGCTTAGAGCCCTCTGCTGCCGTTACAAACAAAGAAGAATTTGGGTTGGGATGTTGTTGGTGAAATGCAGTTTATGCTTGCGAAAGGTTGAATACTGCCACAAGGTTGGTACGGCACTTAGCGTACTGAGCAGAAGTAATCAGAATCCGAATCAAAGCGACTGCTATCTCGTTGCAACTCGCTTCCACGCTCGAACGGACCCTGACCCTTGCGGGAGGGACGTGCGAAAGACAGAACGCTTCACTTGCGGGCGGAGGCAGCACCTCGTGGGGCGGACGGTTTGCCTAAAAAGCACAGTATGGCGAAGCTCAGCTGGTTTTCGGGATTCTTGAGCCGTTTCGGTGTCCAGGGCCGGTCCCTGGGCCAGCACCGTCTCTGAAAATTCAATCTCCCCCAGCAAACCCGCTTCAAGGGCTCATTGCCTTTCTGTGAAATGCTTGTAAGGTGTCTTGTGGCGAGCACATCGTTCGCAACCAGACAGGCATCCCCACATCAGCACAGCACACACGAGTGAGATGATGTTGTGACAGGGAAATTCCTGGACGACACCGGGCCGGCTGCAAGGCAGGGTAAAAGCGGAACAAACCGTGCCAGGTGCATGTGCCGGGACCTTTCGCTGTCCTGTGCACGGCAGGATGCTCGTCCATGTCGCTCCCACAGCGGCCATTGACACATCGGCAAGCAGAGATGGGCCACTGGCTAGCACTGATTGCGAAGGCGGCTCCAGCTCGTTCATCGCGATGAACCGCAAATCCCCCCAATCCTAGGCAAGAGCAGGCCTGGATGTCGTCAGATCAACGGTCCAGTCTATGGAGGCCTGCTCGTGAGGAAGGCCGGACCCTTCCCTGCACGTGTCTGCATTATGCGGCAGGGCATGTGACCGGGAGGCATGTCTGTGTTTCATCTTCCTTGTCTTAAGCACCATGGGGCCAATCCTCTTTGACTGGGTCCGGAGCTGACAGCGGCCATGCAAGCAACGACAGACACAACGACGGCTTGTGCTTTCCTGTGCTGCTGCGACGCCTTAAGGTGAAACGCGGGAATTCTGGGAGCTTTCCCTTCTCCGTGCCAGCGCTTGTCTTCAATGCCTGGGCGATTGATGCTTTTGTTGGCTTCTGCTGGGCTGTGACCCAGGGCTCCAAGAGTTTTCAGCTCCTGCTGCTCGGATTGAGAGGGTCTGGCCAGTCTTTCTTTTTTGTGTGGAAGCGTGCGATCTGTAATCCATGTGCACTTGAGCGAGAGTTGTGGTGTCACCTAGATGGCGTCCAGATATGGTGTGGCGCTTCTTCATTACCACCTCTTTATTTGTGGCTGGGGACATGAAGCATGGCTGCGATAGACCTGCAGAGTAGGATTTGACGGTCTTAGGAGGGTCTAAGGCTCAGCTTCATGTCGATCGAGCACCTGGATGTGGGCACTTTCAGCCTGGTTGGGAAGGCTCCCTGTGCGTGATGCCAACGTGTTTTCGTTTGCGCTCGGAAACCTGTGAGGCACTGGCCATCATTTTGACAGTCTTGTTGTCCAGACTGGTTCTGAAGAAGGGCCAAAGCCTACAGCTCCTTTGACACAGATAGAACGCAAATGCCATTGATGCTTTGGTTGTGCTGTGCTTGAAGGCAGTACTCGCTTGTGGCTGCTGTCGCAGTGGCGACAATGTTTTTCTGCCAATCCGAAGTCGCTGAGTTGCGATTGACTTCTTTGACTCAGTCTCAGAGCCTTGCTTTTGCTGCAAGCCGAGGTCCAAGCACGCCAGGCAGCCAACCTGGCCAAAGTCTTAAGGCAATGGATGAGTATGCTGCAAGCGTTGTTTGCACACCCTGTTTCTGTTTCGATGAAAGTTCCCATGAGTCGAATGTGCATTCACGGAGTGCTTTTGTGCTGCCAGGAGCCCAACGCAGGCTTCGATGTCTTGGTACTTGGGCCTGGCTGAACGATCCACTGCAGTCTTTCTCACATCACTTGCGGCCGTCCTGCAGGTCTGTCGCTCCCGGGTGCGGTTTCGCTCGATAGACACCCTTCAGATAGACCATTTCTTACATTGCAATGTGAACCGCAGGAGCAGCTGCTCACCAATCGGCCAGGAATTCCCTTTATGGTCCAGCAAAGCTGGATGAGCTTGGCTGCAATGACTCTGAGCCTACTTACATTAAGGTTCGTGCACGGCCTGCCTTTGTCGGCATTGACGGAGGGGTTCGGGCACTGGCGAGTACTTGTGCTTCTGTTCTCCTATGTCGCTAGTGGCCTCACCACTGCGCTGATGGTTAAAAAACTGGGGGCTATTGCCAAGTCCCTCTGCGTCCCGATTTACCTGGGTTTCTGCTATGCTTATGCCGTCTACACTGGCTCTGCGTCGCAGCTTGTCGGAGAATTCGTAGCGCTAGGGCCGCCTATGCCTCGCTGCTAGCCTAGCGGCTAGCCTAGCGTCCAGGGGCCTCAGAGATGACTCTGACCGAGGCTGACACTTCAGGTCCTCGCAGCCTGGACTGCGAGCACGGCCTGCATCCTGCTCTACGCCATTTCCAAGATCAAGGCCCAGGCGCCTGGGTCACAGCCGAGAAAGGCGACAACCCGGACCCGCAGTGTGGCTTTGGAGACCACGGATCCAGCGCCAGAGAGCACCTCGCTTGAGCGCCAGTCGAGTGAGGATCCGGCAAACACCTGTGAAACTGCCTTCGGGCGTGGTATTGCCTTGCCCTTGACACCGTCATCTGCAGAGACGATCAACGAGACGGATTCGAGCGCCGACGCATCTGAATCTAAGCGTGAGACCTGAAGGAGGCTGAGTGAGCTGAGCAGGAGGAATTGGGCCCTACAAAGTGGAGGTGCCTGAATCCACTGGGCGGTGAGTGCGTCTACAAAGGGAAACGTGCCTCCATGAGATGTTGAGACGTTCAGGCTCTGGCCAAGGGCAACGATTAGAAACGGTGCAACAGTGACATATCCCGTTTTGCCAGGAGCGAGGAGGTGCTCTACACTGAACGCAAGGCCACATCAAAGCATGGCCTTTCCGTCCTTCTTGTAGATGCTTGTAGGAGTTGGCCTTACGCGCGGAATTCCTGAAACAGGCCAGATACTGGTAGCTCCATCAGGCTTTCCTGCTTATCGTCATGCAGCTAAGGAGCTGAAGCAGCTGGAAGCAACGGATGCTGAAGAGGCAACTAAGAAGCGCCCAGTCCTCAAGGTAACCTTTCGCAGATCCGCTTATGTTGTGGCAAACTTGCCTTTCGCAGTTTGCGTAAATCTTAGGTATAGACACTTCTGCGCAATTGCTCTATTCTCAGGCTCAGAGCAGTTTTTCAGAGAGTCACAACCTTCTCGCTTAGATTGCGCACCTACGACGCAGTCCGTCAGAATCTACAGACATCGCAGGCCCAGAGGGATGAGGCCGCATGACCATCCTTGCTCCGGGAGCCTGCCCGTCGGTTCGGCGAGTGCAAGAAGGTGAGGCATCTTCGAGAACAAGAGCTTTTGGCTTTGCAGCAGCAGATCCAGGCGTTCTGCAAGTCAAAGCACACACCTGCAGTCATTTGCTCACCGTGCTCACCCATGCCGTCGCTCATAGGCACGAATGGTTGGTTTGCAAAGCTTCGCGGACAGTTGTACTTCCCAGCAAAGGGATCTCGAGGCCTCTTGCATCCACGCAGAAGAAGTGTATGCTTGCATAGTCATTGCATTGTGCAGGGAGAGCTCAACCAGTCGCAAGATAGCATCAAACTCCAACTTCAGCACATGGACGAGGCAACATGGATGCGTTCTCAAGCTACGAAGAATGCGGTGCAGTGTGCAGCGTGCGTGCGGCTGGGTGCGGTGTGCGCAGTGTGCAGGTTCGGGCCGGCATCGACAAAGAGATAGATGAACTGGATGAAAGAAAGCGCCAGCTCAGGCTGCTTGAAAGCAGCAACGGCGAGCCCTTAAAGCCTTAAATGCCTTAAGTGCCTGCTGAGGATCGAATTGGACACCGTCTCTCGCCAGCTGGATGAGGCAGAAGCGAAGCCTGTAAGGCTTTTTCAGCTTTGGGCGCCGCTTGGCCGAGGCGCGAATGAAGCAGAAACAGCACATGGAATCCTGCGATCGGCCCGGGCCCTGCTTCGGCTTCGACCGCCATGGCTTCGCCAACAACCCCCCCCCCACCGCCCGCATGCCGTACTGGCACTTGAAGGGGACCCTCGCGCATTCGGGTGTGATTTGTATTTCTGCATGTATGTCAGCAGACCCATTTTTCGACGTGTATGATGAAGGAGGGAGCAGGAACAAATGTCAATCTTTTTATTGTGAACCTTTCTCAAAGTTGAATCAAACCGTCCCCGCACAGCAGCGTTCGCTCCCTTTGCGCAGCAGTTGCATTCCCAGTCGGACTGCTTGCAAAGGCAACGTGCTGAGTTCTACAACACGAAAGCCGCACTGAAGGAGACTTCCGGGTTTGGCTCTCGGGGCAGGGTGACAATGGCTGTCACAGGTGCGACTCGTTCTGTTGCATCTTCTTCAAGCTGTGACGTCGGCAGGAAAAGTTAGATGCGGCAAACACGGATGGCGCTGCCAAGGTGCGGGGATGGGCAAGGGTGGCCGCATTGATTCAAAGGTACTTCAGATAAACGGGTGTGAGGAAGTTTGGTTGGTAACGTCTGAACGCCAGGGAGAGGTTTCTGGTTTATTACTTTACTCACGATGTGGTTAGGCAGAAGGCCTTTGCCATAGCACGAGGTTGGCAATGCAGAGCTTCAACGAACGCTCTCAAGGAAGTATGCGCAGGTCATGCCCACTTTCGACCATTGTCCTGCCTCGTCTTTTGCGTGATGTATATCGGAGGATGCTTTGCACATCAACGTCAAAGACTTAGACTCAACGTATAATGTCCAGAGTGTTTTTCCTCTGGCATGTTCGGGGCGGTGCGTTTCGCTTAAATATTCATGCTTTCGGCAACTAAGGAGACGACAGACTTCTCGGTTTCATGTTCAGATCTAGGCGTTTGGGAAGAGCAAGTTGGTGCCCAAATCGATTGTCGTCGGGCAACATGCTTTAACTGCAGTAGGCCTTTTCCAAGACCCACAGCGGTATTGCAGGCCAAGGAGAAGGAGCTGCTGGACCAAACAAGGCAGGTTTCAGCATGCAGGCAAACGTTGGTCATGTCATTGAAGTGTCCGACAATGATCAGAGACCTGCAAACTTTTGTAAGCCAGGAAGATGTAAGCTTATGAGTCGAGCGATGAAGCTATTGCAATCCGCTTACAGATGCAATGCCGCCTGCTGTCAGCTGCTGTCCTGCTCGAAGACTCGTCTCTGATCTCTGCAGGCAGCTGATCGAAGAGACTGGCCTCGCTCTCCAGTTTCTGGGCTCAGACTCGGCCTGCGATGGATACTCAGCTACTCGTACCCTGCAATGTTGACACCACAGGCGCACAGTCCGCGAGCAGACGGAGGAATTAAAGCAAAAGCAGGCTCGATCAGGCGAGAAGGAAGCGCTTGGCTGGGGCATCTCGGGTGCTGAGGCAGAGTTTCAGAGCCATTTCAAGTTGCTCTTACTCGATCACCTTCGTTATGCAGAGGTGGATTTCGTCACACAAGAAGACCGCACAGTGGCACAGCCTCTTTTTGAAGTCTTGCAGGGAAGAGCAAAGGACTTGCAAGCCGAGGCCCAGAAGGCTGTGGCATCACAGGAGCTCAGGGCCTAGGCCTACACTATCCTACACTCATGTCGTGCAGCACCCACTTCCCACTTGCACGCGCGCGCGCTCTCGCGCCGGCGATCTGCCGTGCGCCACACGGACGAAGCTGAGACCGACTCGATCAAAAGGCGACACAATCAAACGGCGGTCCAATCCTTGCAAGAAAAGCCTCGTCTTAGAGCTCGAGAGGACCCCGGCGCCAAAGAAGCAGCCCGGGCAGCAGCACAGGGAGCCGCCGATGCGTTTCGACCTCAGCTTGTCCCCACTCGCGGCTCTCTGAGCCAGCTCATGAGCCTTCCGAAAAGTGTCCGTTTAATCGTGTATGATCTTGGGGGTTTCTTGAGTTGCAGGACATGCAGCATGCGACATCACCGAAAAATGAACCCTGACCAAATGATTCCAACTTCTTCGGAAAGCATGTCGTTCGGCAAACTTGGCAACAAGAACAGCACCAAGACAAACTTCCAGTCCAGGCAGTTTGGCCATGGGTGCTCTGGGCTCTTTCCTGCATGGGATCTTGTATTCCCGTGCAGTTACTGAATGACAATTTCACAAATTCTGAACCCATTCTGTTCTGGAATGGCTTATCAAAATGCAGTACTGTGTCTCATTTTGGCATGGGTCGCGAAGTGTCCGCAATTTGCGCTGCACCGCCCCTGGATTGAAGTTGATTGAAGCTCAGTTCGTGAATGGAGTTTTCCGTTGATTCTCACCGCCACATTAGCTTTCGCTGGTCACAACTTCAGGGCCAACAGTTCCAGACTAGCTGCGCGGTGACCATGAACAGCTGCATGTCACCTTTTGCCATTATTCCGTTCTACTCCTCAAGCTCTGGAGATCTGTTTGGAGAGAACCCCTTCTGAGGAAACCCCTCAAGATAACACATCATCTCAGCAGACGTCGGGTCCGTACCCGGCCATGCCCCGCAGTTCGAGAAGGGCGCTATGAGGGGCAGATTGCTTGTCTTAAGGCTTGACGAGCTCTGCAAGGACATTGATTTTGTGGGCGACTCCGGTGTGAAGGCGCAAGAGCGCTTCAGAGAAGGCCTGGACCCTCACGTGCTCACTTGCTTTCACGCGCTCTGAGGCACAGCTTGAGAACCTGAGAGTCGCACACGGTGCCACCCTGGCCCTCCTCGGTGCAGAAAGCTCAGCGAAAGGCTGCGAAAGCCCAGACTGGGCATTGTCGGCAGCTAGGCGCCAGCCAGCGCGGCTTCCGCACCGGCCACCGCCGCCGCCACCTTGTCGCCCCCGGCGGAGGTGCGGCCTGGGGTCCCCGGTAGGCCTTTGTAAGCACAGCGCAGACTTGACTCAGGCGGCCTATCCATCGGAGTCTGCAGCTCATTCCTCGCAACAGGTGCCAATCATCTGAGATCGAGTTTCATGTACAAAGAAAGGGGAAGATGAAGTACTGGCCGATCGCGAAACAATGAGTTGTTTCCGCAATTGATACTAACTTCACCTTCCTTGCAAGATCTCGTTTGACGCAACCGGCTGCAAAAACCGGAGACTACGGTTACTTTTTTCGACGGGCACTTTGCAGCTGGCCTCGTGCCCTTCATTTAGAGGTGTGCAGAACTGCCCTGCTACTTGCACAATCGCATGGTGGCCAGAAGTGACTCGCTGTGCAGATCAGATTTTGAACAGTCGTCCTGCATGGCACTTGGAGTCACTTGAACTCTCCTGCGCAGCTTGTGGACGGTGAGTCCTTGCGGGCCTTCTCGCACCGCCAACCTTGTCACAAGCTTTCGGAGCAGGCGCTGCATGCAGGGCGGCTAGAGTGTGCAGAGGGAAAGTCGCTGAAGTGTCGGCAGGCTGCGAGGCTCTACTACCGACAGGCAGGGCTTTGATTTCACATCAAGGGGCGTTTGAGTCAGCTGAGGTCGTCGAGGGCGTCGCTGTTTGCCACGAACGGCTTGTCGCACACAGAGATTTGAAGCCGGGCCTTGAGTCGCGCCCTGCCGAAGCTTTCTACTTAGTTCTTGCCTCCGAAATACTGCAGGCTCGAGAATGTGCTTCTGGACAAAGGTGCCGCTGAAAGTCTTTTTGCTGCTGCATATCAATGAGATGGCAATCGCGAGGTCGAGAAGGCGTGAAAATCATTGACTTCGGCTTCGCAGCACACGTGTGCGACCAAGTTCTATGAAGAGAAACTCGTCACGTTTAGAGTTTAGAATCCAAGCAAGTCACAACAGCTGCAGAAGCTGCAAGGTGCCTAGCAAAGAAACAAAGCTGAAAGCCTTTTGTGGCACACCATCGTGCCACCCCGCCGTCGTGTCACGTGTGCGCTTCTTCTTGGAGCTTGTTGAAAGCTGAGCACTCAGTGTTGCCAATGCTTTCGGTCCAAGACTCTTGCACTGCTAAGCCATAAAGCAGGTTGCCAGCCTTGTGTAGATAGTGCAGTTCCCGGGTCAGACAATGTCAAACATGTTGTCACGACACGCAGAAAATCCTTCCATCGCACATGGCCGAGATTGATGCTATATTGTTGCTTGTCAGCAGTAGTGTTGCAGTGGCAGATGTTCCGAAGGAGGCCTCCCTGCAAAGTTTGGTCGCAGGTTTGATCTGGATGATACTCTCTACCCCGTGAGCACGGGCTTCTCAGATCATCGGAATGGTGAGGCATGCGACTAGTGATCTCACATCTGACATGGCTATGGCAAACACCGCGTACAAACAGGAAAGTCTAGCTCTTCGAGATAATCATGCACGGGTATCTTCTTTGATGCTCCAGCCGAGAGTCTACAAGCGACTGCCCGGTAAGCCTACATGACCTTATTATTGTGTTGGAAACACATCATTGTCGGTGCATCGAGCATAATTCGTGCAGGTGGTTTGCAAGTTCATGGTGGATTACCTGGGCTTCGATTCCATACAGTCTGCAAAGGCGTTACGCGACGAGTATTTCCAGCAGCATGGCACGATATTGCTGATGTTTCCGGCAACATGTTACATCGCTGAGCCTTCACAGCCCATCCAGGCGTTATCACTGCACAATGAAAGGACTCAACGTGGCAATGGAGGATTCACAGCTTTTGTGCAGTGTATCTGTTATATACAGCAAGAAACGGTCGTCATGTTCTGCAGGAGGGCCGATTGCCCAAGCCTTTCCAACAGGAGAGCTGCCTAAGTTGCCTGAAGCTGCTGCAAGCCTGCATAAGCCTGCCATATGCCAGGAAGATTTGGGCCAATTCTGGGCAGATCATTGTGACTTTGCCAGGTGCCACCGCACCGAAGACTCTTTGAAGATGCCAACAACAGCCCTCCAGCAGGTTCATCCACCCAGACCCTGATCAATTCCAAGTGATCCACAGCCTGGCTCAGGCATCACATCACGCCAGAAGGCAACAGTCCGAAGGCCGATCCGAAGTCATCTCGCCCCCAGGTGGGTCTCAAGCTCGCAGTGTTCACAAACTCGCCGCGCAAGTGCTCCTCAGCCCGAATGCTGTCTGCCCCGCTTTCATGTCTCTCCGAGCGATAGCAGAGCAGATTCTGATTCCAGGTATGCTCTGAGCTGCTTGGACAAGCTGGGCCTCCGCACACTCTTCCCTGACGATCGTATCTTCGCTGTGGAGGCCCAGAGGGTCACATAGCTGCACTCTGGCTCAGATCTTTAAACTCAGTCGAGGATGTGCTTCCTGCCTGCAAGCCTCAGCCGGAAGAAGCACGGCTGAAATTAGTCGTCATGTGTTGTTCAGCCTGGTGCTAAATTCAAGTCATTGGAGCCTCTTGCGATTCCTTTGCTCTCAACGCCCCAACCTTCCGGTCCTTCGGGCTTTGATTGCATGCGTTTCCGCTCGTCGAAGGGCGGCGCGGTGTGCTTCTACCCGAACTCTTGAGACCTCCGACAAATGGGATGTTTGTAAGCAGTCATGGCTTGAGCTGCATTGGGTTTGCAGTGGGAGGGCTTGTGTCGGACACCTTCAAGAATCCACCAGCAGCATGCCAGTCCCATCATCCCCAACCCAAGAATCATAAATTCGACGGATGCTGTTTTCAGTTGTCAGACAATAGAAGTATATAGAAGTTGGGCGCAGATCTGCCAAGACCACCGAGAAGATGCATGGGCTTGCTCTGGACGACACAGCCTGACAAAATGAGGCATTCAAGCACGTGCTCGAGAGTATCGGAACCTTTCCGGAAAAGACCGTCATCTTCGAGGACTCGATGAAGAATATTCGCGCATGCAAGGCCCCTTCGTAGACCAGGGGTGGCTAAGGCCGATGCAACGTGTGACTTGCGTCGGCGGGGTCCAGAGAGACAGCGGGAGAAAACGATGGGGACAGGTGTCGCTTGTGGCTCCCGCGGTCGCAGGTTCTCCAGGCATCCCTAGCACCCTAGGCATTTGTCAGGGCCAGTCTTTGGCCAAATGAAGTTAGTGATTTCTGCGGCTTGAAATGTTGTTTATTGGGCGAACGGGAGTTGTGATTCGTTAGTGCGGAGTATGGCATCCTTCGATGTTTGCCGTTGTCCGGCAGTGTGGTTGCAAATTCACGGGCATCATACGCAGAGACGAAGTTGGAGCTGTCAAACTTGTCCATGACCTGTTTGCAGTTGCGGTACGCCTCGGAGTAAATGCATATGAGCACTTTGTTCAGTTTTGATGTACGGAGCAGGATTCTGTGACATATCCCTCTTGAGAATTCCGAGGGGCAGTTAGGACATGGTCGCCTGGCGTGAGCTGTGCAAGATAATCCTGGTGGAAACTCTGCGGTTTGTGGTTGCTGCATGGGCGAATCCAAGCACTGAGGCAGCTGCAAGCAGCAGGATCTGCTCCGATGAAAGGGGTCAATAAGACACCCAAGTCCAGAGGTGTCGAGAACGGCTGTCTGAAGCCGAGCTTGCCATGCTTGAACTGGAGTTTATCTGGAGACTTATCGCAGTCGGCTGTTCTGGATCGATCTTCTATTGCTTTGCTTGAGTATTCTGGTGAGCTTCTTGATTGGGGTCTTGCGTCTTCAGTGTCCTTTGGCTGGCGTCGGATGGGTACTGTCGAGGCCGAGGTTCCGGGTGTGCGTTCAGACTCTTTCGGCAATGGTGCCCTAGGGCCAGGCCCTAGGATGTGCCCTGATTCTCTTTCCGGACACAGCATTTCTCGTCGAAAGGGGATTTGCGTTGCGAAGCCATGTTCGTGGCGTTGACTATCAGCCTTTGCAATTGACTTCGCAGGTTTGACATGTTTAGACGGCTATTTTTCGTCTTGGCGCGACGCATCGAGGCTTGCGTGCAGTGAAATCATTTGGGAAGTAATGTGGAGCAGTTCGGGATCGCAACTCACTTCTCGGCGCCGTCTGCGGGCAACACGTGGTCTCTGTCTGCACCGTGGGTCGAAGCAAAACCGAAGAGTCTTGATCTAATCCTTTGCAATCGTGGCTGTGGGGAGAGTCGCTCTTCGATGTTTAAATTGTCCTGTAGAATCCTTTCGGGTAGCACGCATGCCTTTCAGGCCCTGGGCATACGCACCGTCCTCGTAGATGAGTTCAAGGCACAGCTGTCGAGGGTCCATGGTAGACGGAAGTGAAGTTTCTCCGGGTGACCCTGCAGGGCGGAACCACGGGTGCTGCAGCAGGTCCGTAAGATGACTCATGAGGCTGCGCGACAGTACTTGTAAATCGTTCAGGTGAAGCTGCGCTGCTGCTTGATATTCCGCAGCATGCTGACCCTGCAGTGGATGTGGTGATCAAGGCCAGTGTCAAGCCTTCAAAGAAGGTGAGTTTGAATTATACACAGGAGAGCAGTGCAGGGTATTCCACGTGTGTGTGTGTGTGTGTGTTCGTGATGTCCACACTGGGCATGGCCCGGCTTTGTTCTCACCCGCTGATGTGATCTTCTTGCCGCAAGTGCAGACCGGCATTAGAGCGTGGTTTAGTCGGTGTAGGCAGCTACGGGATACGTCCTGGCAGTCACATGAATGCTTAAGATCCCAACCGAAGAAGCCACTAAACCAATACAATGTCGAAGTCAAGTGAGCGATTCGGAGATGCGGTCATAAAGTAATTCCTCACTTCCAGACCCTCACATAAAGGACCTCCAATTCCAGAGCATGCATCCCATGTGCTCGAGTTGGAAAGTTTTGAAAGGATCTTGAATCATTGATTAGCTACCCACGAGGACCTTCTGGAGGTGCCTACGGTACTGCCTGGCATGTGGCACAGGCGCTTTGAGGCCAGGAGGGCATGAATGTTGACGCCTGCAAAGTCGGCAGCTCGAGGTCAAGAGGACAGGTCTGTCATGTTTGGTCGTGCGACAGGGTTTTTCCTTACGTGCGGATTCGCCATGAAGGTGGACGAGAGTGCGCGATGAAACTTCCAGATCAGCTGAAGGGCAGGCTCTTCTTCTTCTGTAACCTGTTGCAGCAAGCCTGCAGCACATCCACGTCCGTGTACTTCATGTTACTCACAGCTTGGCTTTGAACGTTGAGCCAATTACGTGAGGAAGTTCGTCCCAGGACCTAGGGCCCATGCTTGCGCAAGCAGCGGGCCGCAAGTAGGACACGAACCTGAATACACCTGAGCTGCAAAACAATGCCTGCATCAGAGTCGATTGCCTTCACGGACGTCAAACATCAGCGTTGAGTCCGAAATCTGACATCCGCATCCCCTACTGCAGCCAGGTACATGGCTCCGGAGATCATACGCGGTGAGGGTTACTCAGGCCCGATCGGCTTGATACATATTTGTCCGACATTTGTTGCATGTTTTCATGCTGCGAAAGACTCGACCGCAGCTTGAATGCACATCCCGCACAGATAATGAAGGTGTCCAACGCCTATAGCAGCATGATTTATTCTATGTACTACGAGACCGCAGCCCGGCATTCTAAGGTTATCGCACAGTCCTACTGCCTTGCTCCGAACATTCAAAGCTCGCTAGGTCCACCAGACCTTGCGTAGCCTGTCCCAAGCCTGTCCTGCAGCACGACTTTTCTTGTGCAGCTGGGCTATTGGCTCTAGTGAAAGCATGAATTGCAAACTACAATCACAACAGTTAGGTTTCTCGGAAGCTGGTAGGCCGAGCTAAGCATCCACCGTAGTTGCATAAACGTTCTTCGTACTCGCAGGCTGTGAGCATTTCGTGGCCTCCATTTTGGGTGTTTTGCATTTGAAGGCTTTGCAGCTGACGTGTGGGCCCTGGGAGTGGCCTGGGCCTTGGAGGGCCTTGGAGTTCTTGGATTGCAGGCCATGCAGGCCGCAGGCTGCAGCCACTGAAGATCGTAGCCGAAGTCTGAAGGTGCTCTTTGCACTGCTGTCGGGGACGTTGCCCTTTTCGGCGAAGACTGAGTGAGCTCCTTGAAAGCTTACCGTGTCACATAATGCCGAGGGCTACTGCATAATGCCGAGGGCTACTGCCGATCCCAAGGATGCAACTCTATGCCAGAATTCGACGTGGCAGCTTCACGTTTCCTGACTGTCTCGGCGAGGGCCTCAAGTTTGCGAGGGACGTCGTGCATCACACTCAGATAACTTACACACTCAAGCCGCGGCGATGATACCTTTTGTCGTCGCTCGGCACTACACGCTACGCGTTTCGCCCACTTGGGGCTCCTCAGGCCGTGCCTCGAGACTAACAGGCTTAGAAGGTATCGCGCATCAAGCTACAATCAGTAGCATGAGAACGCAACACTCCAGACCAATCGTAGTGCATAGGTTTTTAAAAAAACCAGATCCCAGCCCACCTCACCCTGATCTAGTGGGATTGCATACCCAGTTGGTAGCAAAATCTCTACGGAACGTGTTCTTCTGAACGCTATGGGACAACATCACGCGAACCGGTGATCGAAACACGCTGCACACAACGTGCCAATGTCTCTTCAGAGCAATATTGACAGCTCGGATGTTCAACGAACTACTGTACTCGAGTTTAAAGAAGAATTTGCGATCGCGCTTTGAACCAGATCGCAACCTATTCTTTAGTTTCTGCACTGTGCTGTTTGCAAGAATCTCTGCTTCATGTCGATTGTACCCTCGAATTCGGAGCTTGTCGAGGAAGAAGCCAAGATGTTTGGCGAAAGCCATCGGATTTCGAAGACATATTTTGAAGAGGCGCTGCGTTTCACCGATAGCGAGCGCCTTGAACACGCTGGCAGGATGACATGATGTCCGAGGCAAGTACAGGTAGGCATTCTGTTCTTTCCTGTGCGTTTGGAAATCACAACGTCCAGCATCAATTGAAATATCGAGATCAAGGAAGCTAACCCGGCGTCCATGTCCCGAGTTCTCCCAAACTATGCTTGGATGCCATGCCTGTAGCTTTGAGATTTCCATGTTTACTTCCCGCCAGGGCAACATCGAGAAAGCATCATCCACAAACCGATTCCAAATTTTCACCTGATTTCATTCCGCAACGAGGTATTCATCGGATGACGACAGGTACAGGTTAGCAAACACCACCGAAGGCTGAAATCCAGTGGGCAAACCTTCTATGCCAAATCTGTTGCTCAAATGTGACATACTGTGAATCCAGCACGAGCTCGACGAGCTTCATGATGAATTCCGCGAACTGTGGCGACCTGGACCAAAACCTTCTGACCCTTGTAGCCGTGACCCCAGCAAGAAATGGTTTCTGCAAATGCAAGGATAAAGATTGCGCACATCAAATGTGCATAAACACATCTTTTCAGGAACAGCCACACCCACAAGCCGATCAAGAAGTTCAGTGCTTGAAGTGATTACATGCTTGGCCTGGTTCAAGAGCGGGTTCAGCGTCTCGGTCAGATAAACGGCAAACGGGGCCAACTACGTGCGGCTGACATTCATGATCGAACGTCCAACCACTGGAGACGTGTGCAGCTTCACCGGAGCCTGAAAGACCCTGGAGATGTACTGCAAAAGATTTGAAGCAGTCGATTCGGTGATGAGTCCTGCACTGAAAGCTCGATGAAGAAAGGAATCCAAAACAAATTTCATGTTGGTGGTTGCAAACTGGTATGTTTGTAAATCAACGGGCTGCGAAGCTTCCCGAAGTAGTCGCAGACATTCATCTCGAACCTAACTCCGAGGAAGAATTGCATCACCGAGGGTTTTTATCTGCGTCCACAACACATACCTCATCAACATGTTTGGCCAACCAGCGCCTTGCTGCTGCGTCCACGAAATCTTCATTTTTGACCCACTGTGAGGGCTCATACTTGCAGAGATCATGCCGAAGAAGCTGGCAGTATCGAGCAATATCTGGATGAATAGGTGGGCTCCACGAGGTTTTGACTTTGCAGCGTGATTTCACTCTCCCGCTATGACAATCACTTCTGACACCTTCAAAGAAAGCATCTGTGTGCAAACGGGTTTCAAAACCATCAAGTTCATGCAATACCGTCGATGCCGAAATGGTTTTCCTGTCCGCGATAGACTTACCACCTTTGGACAAGTATGCAATAACGCATGAGGAATAATAAATCCAGGCGGTGTGAGATTGTTCACTGGTGAGGAATATCGACGTTCAATTCAAGCTGTACAAGCGTCAATTTCCGGAGCCTGAAACGAACGTAGGCATCCTGATCTATGGTAAAATCCTCATTCCAGAACGACCGCCTGCGAATTCTGCGCGTGGACTGCGTGAGAGTCAGTTACTGCGCGGCGCCGGGGTTTGCATGCGAACCTTCTTTCCTTCCTTTCCCTCAGCTTTACCTTTGCCTTTTCCTCGACCACTTCCACAACCTTTTCCACGACCTCCTGGCTTCTGACTGGCCTTGCTGCGATGACTGGAGGTTGATCTTGCCCGTGACGTCTTACGCGATTCGCGGCTCTTTCCATTTTTGGAGGTACGCGATGCTTTGGACGAAGATGTTGCGGATCTGCCTCGCGAGTGGCTCTTGGAGGATTTTGCTTTCTGCTTCGGCTTCTTATCCTGCGATCCAACGGTGATGTTGTACTTCGCTGCGAGCTCAGGATATTGCTTCAGGAAAAAGGCTAAGGCCCATGCTTCGGCACTACTCGTTGGTCTTTGTTCGCACTGCTTCTGCCCGACAGAGCTGAATGCTCAAGCACTGCCATTGCAAGAAGCTTCTGCACATCCATTAATCGAAATTCAACTTCTGCTTTGGTGAGCTCCTCCTTCTGATTGATGCGGTTGGCCCGTTCCTTCTCCTGCCGATTCATGGCCTTTGGTTGTTCGGTTCTGAAAGTCAAGTCGGCAAACTGCGAAACCTGCCTTTGTAACGAAGCTTTGCATCAGCTGAAAGAAAAGCATCAAACTTCCTGCACCACGCTTCAAACCGATCATCCAACAACACTCTCTGGTAGGTGACGTTGACTCGCTTACGGAAGAAGTCGAGGCATTGCCTTTGGTAGGCGAACACGAATGCTTGACACTCGTCTGCGTGTTTTTTCGAAGAGCACGATAGGCATCGTCCAGATTGAAAGGAGTACCATCGACTCTGACATCTGCAAACGTGTCATTCTCGCCGTCATTCAAAGTAGCACGACGCTCAGTCAACTCCCGAGCCTCAGATTTGAACAAGCCTGGCCATTGCCAGGTCTTTGAAACTTCGTGTTTGAATTGTTTGTGAAGTTCGCCATGTTCAATGATATCTGTATACTTTTGTGAAAGAGTTTCTTGGGTAGCGCACTGGTGTAAGACGGCGCGATAATGACGCGACCATTCCTGCAGTTCCAGCTTCAATGATGGATCCAAGTGGTTCAAGATGTCGTCAGGGTTTGTATAGAGTGTGGTTGCACAAGCTTGGGCTCGATGCATCATTGACAGCTGATTGGCGATCAACTGGTTTTGCGTGCGTTGCTCTTCCAGTAACTGCAAAAGCAAAGTCTGGCGTGTGGGCATGGTTGCAGGTGCCCCGGCTGCATTAAAGAGCCCTGGAGGTGGCGCCACATGCCCTGTCATGCCGGTCCTGCCGGTGCCGTCAATGGTGCGGCTTCTGCTGCGAACTTGAATTTGGGATTGAGGTGCCATGGCGAATGTGTTGACCTGCTGCAAAGCATTCAGATAACTTACGCACTCAAGCCGCGGCGATGATACCTTTTGTCGTCGCTCGGCACTACACGCTACGCGTTTCGCCCACTTGGGGCTCCTCAGGCTGTGCCTCGAGACTAACAGGCTTAGAAGGTATCGCGCATCAAGCTACAATCAGTAGCATGAGAACGCAACACTCCAGACCAATCGTAGTGCATAGGTTTTTTAAAAGTCCGATGCGTTAGTCATGCTCATTGCTGGGCTGAAGAGATGAGACAGGGAGCTAATTATCTCTTCTCCAGAAGCGTCTGCGTCTCTTCCGCATGGACTTCTTTGATATGTGGAAACGTGAAAATGGTCACATGACCGCAGCCAGAGGATGGATAAGGCCGCATGAAACGTCGCGTTGGTGGTCGGATCGCACTCGCAAGGCTTCTTGTATATCGTGCTTGGAGCCACATCGTCAATGCCGCCTCAAACAAGCGCAACTTGACTACGCCGATTCTACACAGCTCCGAGGGAAAGCATCGAAGTTCCAGCTTCGGCAAACTAAGCCTTAATCCAGGTCAAGCGGTGGCAGCACGAGAGTTCTCATTGTTGGCTCGTGCAACTCTCACAACATGCGGGCCCACCGCACAGAGGCATGCGGCATACTCTCTCTCGATCGAGCCAGATGTTGCACAAACTGGGGCGCAAACAACTAGTGCATTGGTGCAGTTCATGGTTTCTCGGACCATCGCACTCTCCTTTTTTGACCAATCGATGAGCACGGCGAGGTGACTGATTGGCTGTGTTATTTCCTGCTCCGAGGAGACTCACAGAAGCGCCTGCTCCGTGGAGTCCTGCGAAAAGATGCTTCGGCCAGGCCAGGCGGCAGAAGGAGGGCGGCTGCGGAGAGCTCCTCCCCCGCCTCCCGCCACGCTGAGGCCCTCGGCCTCAGCGCTCTTGCAGCATGCCTGGGTAGCCGGCCGCGATGATGGAGGCCGACGGAAAGACCTGCTAGCTATGTTTGAGAAGTTCTGATACTGCATAAAGACTACTTATGACTTGTGACCTTAGGGGGACATGCGTTGCAGCCGCAAGATGCAGCAATGTTCACAGGACATCTCTCGGGTGTAGTTTCGACCCTCAGCATCGCAGCCTCGCAGCCTCAACAAGCTCAGAAAGCCGCGGGCTTATCGGAAGCTGAGGCAACCGCCACTGCTTTCCTGACTGACAGTGGGAAGGCCTCGAACAGGCTGCGGGAACGGGAACGGCCCCCAACTGTTGACAGTCCCAGAGATTCCTCCATGCATTCGATGGCAGGCAGGCTCTGCAGCCCGCTGAGGCACCGGTGCGAGCTCGGAATCTCAGCTTCCGTGACTTTGCTGTGAGCTTCTTCCAGCTATTGGTAGGTTCTCAACGGCTGGAACTTAGGCGCACGGATACCCCAAGTCCGTCACGAATCAGACGGCCTGCACACTTGGGTTGACCGAGAAACGCAGCTGTAGTCACATGGCATCCTTGGCTGTGGACCGAGATATGCAGAGGCGCACTTGGACGATCTGACGCAGAAGATCTGCGGGGTCTCCAACAAAGGCCTTGTTTCTGCTGCATTGCTTGTAGTGGCAGGTCACTGGCTGCAAGGGAGGTTTTCAAGGATTCGACGGGTGGCAAAGCACCGGCCTAGCTTTTGGATTCCGGAGTATGCTAGAAAACTGACATGTGGACTGCTGTGTACAGGACATTCGAGGACCCCGCCAGCGTTTCCTTGGAAAAGACACTCCCTGCTTGCTGCTTCTCCCAGTAGTTCGTTGTTTGCAGTTCGTTCTGGCACGCCTTCCTACGGAGTAGCTGCCGCAGCGCTGTGCCGTTGTTATGCCTTCCTCATAAGCAGGCGACATTACTCCTGTACCATATGTAACATACCATCGTTCTGCTGATGATGAGGCAGTTCCGTCTTGTGGTTGCGTTTTTCTTGGAAATCCTTCTGCCTCAGGCTGCAGGTAAATTGGGATCTTCTTGATATGCCATAACGCACAAAACGCCCTGAGACTTCAGGCGCGACGGCTTTCGGGGGCAGCTGACAGCGGGTTTGCACGAATGCGTCCACGAGTTTCAGTCCACCTCAGACCAGGTTACCAGGTCAGCAAGCTAGGTTGCCTCGTATTGCGTCGTGATTAGATGCAATCGGTCTTGCATGTTGCTGGTTTTGCTTCGTTTATGTTCTACTTTACAGTGGCCAACTTCAAGCACTGTGAGTCACTGTCTTAAGGATCCCTGGAGGCGAGGTGCAAGCCTACCTTGCAGGAATGTTTCTGCCACTGCGACAAGAGATTGTCTAGAGTCTAGATACGACCAAGCTCAAGAGCCAGCAGCAGTTGCATTCCGCTCTAATTTGCCTTGTGCACCACCAGAGCGTGCGAATTTGCATTGCCAATACTGCATATATTTGCTGCAGACCAACCGCCGCTGAAGATGCGGTAGGCGCATTTGGATACCAATGCCCTTCGTCACGTTCGTGTGTAAGTTATCTTGCGATGTGTATTTCATGGAAATAGAACCCCTTGTCAGCATCCGGCGTTGACCGACGGCATTGCCACGATCATGCAAGAAGTCGGCCTGCGGATCTTTCAGTAGCGTTTCGCTTAGGAGAGGCGGCAAAAAGAGACGCTCTTGGGGCCTTGGTGTTGTCTTGCAAGGTGTTGTTTGCGCTTTGCAAATCGGCTCGAAGCGAGAGTCCACAAGGTGCCCGAGTTCTGGAGGCCGAGACTGAAGAGAAGCATCCCACCAGCTGAAAGACTTCGAGACATTCGCCAGGTCATGGCGAGCTTGTTAGGCGCCCAGGCAGGGCAGCAACCACAGGCGCGGATGCCACATGATGCCACAACACTCTGAGCTTTGACACCTTTAGCTCAACTATGCTCAACTTTCAGGTAAGCCCGGTGGACATGATGGTGGCAGAGATGAAGGGCATGGCTGACATTTTCTTCAGGCATCCTCTTGTCTTGCTGGAGAGTCTGGTGCTCATGGGCTGCTTGCAAAGCTTCTACATATTTCTACATCCTCGTATGTCTAGTATAGCTGGGCAGGAAGATGTTGTCATCTTCAGCAGCTTGTAGCTTCAGCACGCAGGTACCAGACCCTGCCTTCTGGTTTCTTGTGCCGTTGTTGATGATCATGTTCGGCCTTCTTGACTTGGCTTGTGGCAGGTCAGCCATCTCGCAGCACACGGGTCTACACGAATGGTATGTGTGACATTATGTATCTCACACCTCTGTCTGCATGCATGTGCAGCTGTTCTTGGATTGTCTGGTTTCATTGCTTGATTGGCGCATTCAGGGCAATTCAGGTTCACGGTGCAAGAAAAAACTTCGTGGGCCTGCAATAGGACATACTGAGTGCGCGATTGCGCGTGCCTACACGTGCGCGCAGCTCAAAGCCCCATAAAGCGTGCCTTTGTTGCTGCCGTTTTGCAGGCTGCTGCTGCAACCAAGTTGTTTACCTATTCCTGTCGGCCCGGGGCGATTTTCTTGTGCCAAATTTTTGTTCTACTCGTGTGGCTTGATGCATTGCGATCTTGCAAAAATGGCATGGGTCAACAGAGTCACGAGGATGCATGCACATACAGCGCGCAGCTTAAATAGCTACTCCTGATGTGGAAATACAGGCTTGCCCTTGCACCTTTGCATGGCGATGGTAAGGCAGTTCTGATTGGGCATCATCAGAAAGCATAAAAAGTTTCGGTCGCGACAAGAAAAGCAAAACCACCAGCGCGAAATTCTGCTGGACGAGCACGTCACTCCTCCTTGAACTCCTCGTTGAGAGTTGTCCGGTTTTCGATATGAAGTCTCGTGCGCCGGCCGGCAGTGCAGGATGCAGGCCAGCTGCTACAACAAGTGCATAGCCAGCGTCAAGGACGCTGCATGCTGGCAGTGAAGGCAAAACGCCTTCCAGTTGTGCAGCCCTGTGCAGCCCTGCGGCCGAGGAGGAGAAGCTAAGTGTTGGCGAGATGAGCTGCGTAGACAGGCGGCGACACGCCCAGACAGCAGGGATGCTAGAGATGCGCACGTTTGGGAAAGGTGTGTCAACAAGTTCATGGATGTCCACTCAAAGGCGGAGAGAGCCAACTGTCTCGGGAAAAGCGACAGTCCTATGGTCAGTGGTCAGGTGGGTGCAGAGCTGCAAGCTTTCCAGGTCTGTGCCTTGACACCTCGAGTGCAGCTGGAGCTCATGTTGCGGTTTGTTGCCCAGGCTCAGCAGGCACAAGCGCCTGCATCCACCGAATGAACCTGCCAAGTGTAAGCAGACGACCGCGGCACAGCATCGTCCAGTACACGAGCTGTTCAGGGCTTGCAGCTTTCCTGAGGCTGCCCTGGGTAGAGTTTCACCATTCGAGACAGGCTCCAGGCTCAGTAGCAAGAATAAAAAGTTGACGCGCAGTGTTGTGCATGTTAGCAACAACGTGAAGATGCCCTATACAGCAGTTGCACTCTTCAACCCGAGCCGCGGGTGGACCGATTGCAGCGACGAAATCCACAAAAGGACTGTAGACTGGATTCAGACCTGGAGCCCAGGGGTGTTAGTGTGAGGAGTCGTGTGATCGCTATCCGGTACGGCAATACATGCACCCACAGACCCGGCAGACCTCGCGGAACTGAAGTGGAGGTCGCCAATGTCAGTGCGCCCTAGATTCATGTGCTCGCCGGGCACCGCCGGCTTTGCCTATGAGGCAACCACACATGTGAGGATTCCCCAATTTGTACAAAAGCACGAAACACCGCCGGCATGAAAGGACCGTGCCTGAGCATTGAGCCCGTGGCAGACAGCACGTCGCTACGATCATCGACGCTCAGACAAGACTTCTGTTTGCAAGCGTGCTTTTCTATTTTTCGCAGCAGTGATGTGATGCCGAGAGCGCCGGCATTGACCACATAGTTTTCGGTGATGCTACATTCCCTGCCGTCGAGTTTTTCAAAATCAATCGCAAGGGCCGCCACCTGAACAAGTGACACCTTCACCAGGACCTGCCAGCCACTGCCTGTGGCCGCGATGGTTCGCTCTCATTCCAAGTCGCAGATAGCAGCAGGCATGTAATCGCGCTGTGAAAGATTATGTCTGACTCGCAAACTCCATTCTCTACCAAAAGCCCTGAGCTTCCGCACGATGCACGTCGAGCTTGAAGCGGTGCCCGTAGACGATGCACAAGCGAAAGGTGGTGCAGTACCTGTCCAAGCATCTTGGTCCCAGATTCGTTTGCCCCGTTGCATGTTCCATGAGCAGCCAGGCAGCCAGCCTCCAGGAATGCTTTGCAGTCCATCCACGCTGTTTGATGTGATCGGCTAGACTTGGACTGAGGTATATTCGCGGCCTGAATGCTGAACAAGTGTCATCCAGCTGCTTCGTCGAATCACAGACACGTTGTGAAGACGAAGAGACGAAGACTTCACGCCTCCCTCCGAGGACTGCTTTCAGGCGAAGTCGAGTTGAGAGATGCAGAGCTCGAAGTGGCACCGCTGCAGAGCCTGCTGGCCTCCGCTGGCTTGCCCTATACCCTCGAGGCAGCGACTTTCATCCAATTTCCCTGGTTCAGTCGCACATTTCGCGCATGTTTGGGCTGCCACCGACACCCTGCTAATACACCTGTTCTGCATTGTTCTGCCATACATGTTTGCTGTTGATTGCGGTTCACTGTTTCGCCTTGTGAGACGCCTGCAGAACAAAGACTTCCTGCATTGGAATATGACGGCGGCGGATGTTCTTAGCCGAGAGCTTCGAGAGATCCCAGAGAGTGTGAGGAATGGCGTGGGGTATCGGATCTGCGGTACGGTCATGTCCACTTTGAGATCTTCTACATCCCATACCACACCATACCATACAGTGTTGGCGGTGGTGGAGAATCGGAAAGACCACGCACGCATGGCATGTGCGTGTGCGTGTCCCGTCAATTCTATGTGAGACTTGCTGTCGCTTGCTCGTTTACTCACTGACTGGGGCCAGCTTCACCGCTGCATGTTGTGGCATTTTGCTGCGAACTGCCTTGCTCGATACCCTCTCGCTGTGCCTTGACTTGCTGTGTCAGGTGCTTGCCGTGTCTTGCCGCCTGCCGGCATTGCCTCTACTGGCTTCGTGCATTGGTGCAGCATGTGCAGAGCATGTGCAGCTTGAGGTGACCTGGTCTCTGTGACGGTGCCGTGGAGCGCCCTCCGCTCTCGACCCTTGCAGGTGAAAATCGGGCACGTGCGTGCCCAGGCTGGGCCCGGGGCTCTGAAATCCGTAGGGTCGGCTGCCTCGGTTTCAGTTCAAGCTCTCCGGTCCAAGAGGTGAAGGTGCATGACGCCACTGATGCAGCCTGGGTAGAGATGATTGCAGCTGCGGCTGCGCGGGCGAACACAAAGCGGAGCTCTCCAGTTTCCAGCAAGGCGGGGCTGTTCGTGATAGCTGCTTCTGAGTCGCTGACTCGCGGCCACGGGCAAGGAGCAGCGCAGCTTACGGGTATCTGAGTCTGGTCTGCACGTGCTTCCAGATAGATACATGGACACCAACAGTCTGGAGCCGTGTTTCTGGATGGGGATGCCACCAAGGATGTCAGAGTTGCCATGATTGATGGCTTGCACGTTTCTGTCGCATCTCTGCAGCTGGTTTGCAGCCTCGCTTCCTCGAATCCGTTGTGACTAAGCAGCACCCGCTCACGAACAGTCCGCGAGTGGGGAGTGGGACATCTTGCACTTTTCGATCGCTACGCGACCCCGCCTCGGCCCACAGCCGGCCCTCCCTGCAGCTGTCCGGGGCGCATCGTGGGGCATTGACAACGATGGAAGTCTGAAGTTAGTATCGCATTGCAAGCCATTCAGCGAAGCCAAGACACATGAAAACGAATCCCACACAAGCTGAAAGCTATCCGGCGAGTTCGAGTGCAAGACCGTGCTTTGACATGAGCCACGAAGTCTAAGGAAGTCCATTGAGCATAAAGCGAAACTACTTGAACATCAGTTGAAGGCAACTACATGCAACTACCGTTAGCTGAGATAAATACTGAGAGTTGGCTACTACGTTAAACGAAGTTGTGTCCCCCGTTGAACTCAATTTATTTCAATGACCCACAAGCAAATTGAGCAGTTCTGTGATTGCGTGCTCAAAATTGAGCTTGAACTTGGAAGGTCGATCAAGTTCAAGCTTGGCCATTTGGTCCGGTTTGGTGGGGGTGAGGGCCGTGAGGCGCAAAGATGCCGACCGAGAACATTCTGAGATTGATCTAGAACCAATGAAGTCTGGGCAGATCTGGCAGTGATGTGGAAAAGAATTAAGCTTTATGGCATGAGTTGTTGGGAAATTAGAGGCTAGATTGGCTGTGTTGCCCATGACACTGATGGCTCTGCAGAAACCCCGATGTTCAAAGCATCACTAAGCAATCTCGAGCACAGTGCCTGGGCCTCCCTGTGGCCTGACAGCGGCAACCAAACCCCAAAGCATCCTGCGCCAAGCAAGCCCCCTGTCGTCTGGCCGTTTTCGCCAAGGCTGTACAGTGGCTGAATTTAGTATTTCGGGCCCAGCATTGCAGAGGATGGTGTTCTGGGGTCCAGGTCGTTAGCGTTGTGGTGTAATCCCAGGTCTGTGTTTCAGGTTGTAATTTGCTTCACGGGTTGCAGGGCAGAGTTCCAGTAGCACCCATGGCAGAGCCGGGTAGGAGCTGGCACAACTCCAGGAGGAACCGTCCCAACTCCAGAAGGGCAAACTGAAAAGGACTTGAACCTGGAGTTGACCTTTGTCAACTCCAGAAAGCTTGGTTTTCATCCTCACTCTGGACAGAGAGAGCTGATTCTGGAGTTGAGGCTCGAAGAGTTGGAACGAAAATGGTTCAGCATAAAGGGTCCATCCTGGAGTTGACAAGCGTTTGTCAACTCCAGAATGGGGGATCTTCAAAAAGTGACCCTGGAGTTGAGACGCATGTCCCTAGAGTTGGCATGACCGCGGCCCTTGACTGAGTTACGTATTCACTCTACAGCTGTTTGTGTCTAATTGCTGTCAAAGCTTCGCAAGCGAAGTCCAGGAGACTGCTACCAGCATGTCTCCAACACCTCGCCAATGCCTCCCCAGCACCTTCTCCGCACCTCCCCCCAACCTCCCCAGCACCTCCCAAGACCCATGCACCTTGTGTGCACATATGCAGGCAGCCAACTTACCTGACCTCCCCCGTGTGGACAAACCCGTATAGAAGTTACTTGTCTGCCTGGGCTCCAAATCAGACACGGAGATCGTTCTTCGCGGTTATTGCCCTGCGGCCGCTTGCTCTGACCCCGTTTGTGTTTTGCAAAGCAAGTCGTACTCCAGAAGCCACTGCATTAGTTTCCATTTTCCATAGTTGCGACTGACATCTGGTGCACTGACTCTCCAGGGGCAGTCTTCCTGCACAATGGAAATCGTTAACAAGCGCTGCAACCCCGAAGACCCTACAATCTTCTGTCTCTCATTCGATCTCCTCTTCGGTCCTTTCCCAAACCGTTTCTCCTTGGTAGCCGGTTGAGGCGGCACGGGAAGCTCCACGGCCAATTGGTTATGCAGTTATGCGTATCCACTTGTGACGCTGCACGAATTTAGGTTTGCGTTTGAGCTGCAGCTGAAAGAGATCTCGCTGAACCCTTTGGCACCTGACAGCCAGGACGGAGCAGGCAGATAAAAGCAGAGGCAGGCAGGAGGCTCTGAGCAGCTCTTCAGGACCCCGACAAGAAAGCCAAGTTTCGACAGAAGAGCAGAAGCTGGACATCCCTGCACAGGAGGAGCCCCAAGGGATTTCTATGGATTTCTTGCATGTTGTCTAAGGGAGGCAAGGAGGCAAGACAGCACAGCGGGTTGTGCAGGCTGGAGCTGCAACATCTTGGATTTTCTGCCGCCAGTCTGACCGGCTCGGCAAGCTCAGCACTGCTCTCGGTGTCCGGCTTCTGTGGCTCTGCAGGGTGAAGCATGACTCGCGCACCTTGCGTTGCACATCACATGTCGATGAGATTTCTTGTCGCCTAGTAAGACGCCTGCCAGGTGTGGACCTGGTCGAGGGCAGGGACGTTGGGCGGCGAGATGGGCAGACTGGCTCCGCAAGAATGGCGCTGCTGCCACGCGATGTTCGAGCCAATGTAAGCTTGCGGGACTGTCACGTTCAATGCGGTCAAGCGGAACTTGCCGACTTGGCATCTCTGGTATGCCACATCGCTCAGCCACCCGTGCCACCGCTGGGTCTGCTTCGTGCCACAACACGGCAGCATGTAGACGCGATATTGGCAGAGGAAGTGAAGTCACAGCGGCTTCAGCGCGAAAAGCGTGCAGGCAGAGAGCCGAAAGCCTCTGCCGGCGGAGGAATGGCCCATGCTGCGCAGCGCGCGCAGCGGGCTGCTCATGGCGCGGTTGCTGATGCTACAGCTGCTGCGGATGCTGCAGCAGAGACTGCTCGGAGAACAGCTGCAGTGGCTGTTCACGGTGCTGAGCGTGCGGCAGCTGTTGCTCAAAGGGCTACGCACAGTGCTACCCAAGCACTCGGTGGCGCCCGTCGCAGTGGCCAGGCGGCAGCTGAAAAGGCCTTGGGGCAAGCTGCATCGACCTCAAAGAAAGCCTTGGGCAGCTTGGGCACACTTGTGCGTGGCAACTTCAAGGGAAAGCTCGGATTTGCTGCAAGTGGTCCGAAGTCAGTGAAGGGCATAACCTCAGGGCCGGAGCAGGCCAGCTCCGCATGCTCACTAACTTTGGAGGAGCAGGAAGAGCTGGAGTTACAGCAGGCCGGGTGTCTGTCAACATATACAACATACAGCACCAGCTAGTCTCGATATGTCTGGCTCGAACGTAGATTGTAGCTATAAGAAGTGTACATCAAAATTTTAGCGTGCTGATTTCCTACAGGCCCTTGCTCTCTCATTGCAAACGGAAGCGTGCACCTCGTCGGCCGCGTGGGAGGAGGGAATCGCCACCTCGACAATTCAACTAGAACCCTCAGGGATTGAAGTGGAAACTACATCTGATCACCTGTCAGCTGGAGCGTCCGAAACAGACGAGGATGACGAGCAAGAGCGTGTAGTAGCTGTTGATTCCGCATGCCCAGAGGATGTCGAGGACGCTGACGATCTTGAGGATGTCGATGAAGATGCGGATGGCGCCCAAGACCACGAGGATGAGGATGGTGAGGATGGCGGAGGAGTTGGGGGAGGTGCTGGGAGCGCTGCCTTGGGCCACCTGGCCTTGACCCGCAAATGGAGACCGCCGAATCTTCGTGTTCTGTCAACGCACGTATCTCTGAGGAAAATCTCCGTCAGGCTACCGATGGGCAGCAAGGCATGCGCAGAGACGCAGGCTCTCCTGGAGATTCTGGATTTAAATATCACTCTTGAAGGCTTCCTGCGCTTGTCTTTGGCGGAGAGGCGCTGCCTGGAGCGTCTTCGGGGCGCCTCCACAATGCAGTCTGTAGCAATTGCAGACAATGCAGCCATGACAGGATTCAGTGGAAGCTGTTTGTTGACATTGTGCTCTCTTCAGCTCGTCGTCATCGATTCTGCAAGGCACCCACTAATCCAAGCACGCCGAATACACCTGCGGCTATGTTGCACGAAGCGAGCCCCCAGCAGTTGCCCAGAACTGCATTCAGACGTATGCGTTCAAGGCGTGGAGATCTATCCTCAACCTTTGGTGTTTGTGGCTTTGGCTGAGCTAAAGACTCTCGTGGCCACTGTGATTCAGGCCCGTGATGCCGTCGAGCATCTGCCGGATGCAACTAGCAGCCCGACTGTCACTGAGAGCATGAATCTACAGCCGCGGTTTCACGTCGAACTTGTCATTCGGGATGTGCGGATTCGGCTCACGCCGGCCCCCTCTTTGAGCCTTTCTTTGTTGCTCCCAAGCCTCCGGGCAGTGGCTGGAGACGCCACAGAACAAGGGCTGCTCCCGCTTCCACTCCCTCACAGTTCCGGCGTCGGCGTAGGTGCTGCTGGCACTGCGATTCTGCATTCCGATCCCGATTGGCATGTCTACGGATGCCTTGGCACGAGCAGTAACGAAGCGGAGTCGAAGAGCCTTGCAAACTGGGAGACACTGGTGACTGAGCGACAGTGGTCGGAGGGTTTACAGGAGGCGACTGTTGCGTCGAAGCGTTTGCTCCTCCGTCGCAATGAATTCCTCAGACTTTCTGCATCAAAACTGAAGGCCTTTGAACAGACACAGCTCCAGGATAAGATAGCAGAGGAGCAGCATGCGATAAGCCTCACGACTATTGCCAAGGCGAAAGACGATCGATTTCATGATTTGTCGGCAGGACATTGGGAGGGCTTCGAAGATGAGCTGCAGGCACAGTTGGAGGGGCTTCGAAATGAACTGCGAGCCTTAGATGAGCTCCGTCGCAAGGACGAGGGAGAGCTGCGAGACTGTGAGCGGGAAGCATCCACTGGCTTGCTAACTGCTCTGCAAAATCTGCGGGAGCACGAACTCCAGCAGCAGCTGGAAGAAGAGAAACGTGCCAGTGTGGCTTTGCAGCAGCTGGTAGCGACCCAAGACTTGATCATTCAGGGGTTAACGGGTGGGCTCTAGACTCTAGGTCCTTGCCTTCTCCTACGAGTATGAAGCTTGTGAAGGCAAGCCACTGTCTAGAACGGGCTACAGTGGCTTGAGGAAGGCGGCCGAGGACCAGAACAGGCGGCTGGTAACTGTTGATCGCGGTACGGCGTCGGACACGGTTCGACCTTCATGGACGCAGTCATTGTGATTCCGGCTGTGATGCTTTCGAGACCGATATTGATGGCCAGCTGCCCTGAGTCACGCACAGGCCTCTTACGAACGTTTCCCTAGATCTCTTGCGGCTGGCCTATTGCAACTCTTCCTGAGTGCTAAGTGACAATCCGCCGCGGACGTGAGCGGGCATGAGCGTACTCCCCAGACAGATTAGCATCATGCAAGGAGAATAAAGAAAGTTGGCAGAATCCTTTGCATGTCGGCTCTTGCCCTTGCTCCTGCTCCTCCTCGAGCTGTTTCGCTTGCTTCTGCTCTTGCTCTTGCTGCTCTCTTGCTTCCGCTCGTGCTATTGTTCCTGAACCCCCCTAACCCAAAACGGGTTTTAAAAGGCGGTGATGTTTTAGGGAGGATGTTTCAGAAGGTGGGTTCATTACCAGTTGGATTTTAATAGATGGGGGTGGCAGTGATTAGTTTCGGTTGTTGTTGGCATGGAACTCAACTTTCTTGAGAGGTGTTTCGAGCTATGCGGAAGCACGGGGTCGCGGTCTTCATGCTTAAGATAGGTCTTACGTTGCCAATCGAGCAGCAACAGCATCGTGAACCTCTTGTGCTCCCATGCGCAACATCTTGTTCAGCGGGCGCACGCGGATCATGTTGCACATGACTCATGCACGGTGTTTTGCTAAATTTCAAGACGAACGGTTTGCATGCTCATCAGGTGTGACATTGTCAGTCGGATAGAATATCGGCCGAGGCGCAAGCGAAGTCTGAAACAAGCTGACATGTCACCTGCATCAACTGCTGACACCTGTAGCGATAATCGACAGTGTGCTCGGTCAAGATATTGAACGCTTAAAGCATGTTTAAGCCGTTGAACGAATACTTAATAACGACCAACTCACACCAGGCAGTTCTGGCTATACAAGAACGATAGAGCAGGGCACAAAGGCAAGTTCATGCCCACGAAGAGACAGAAATAGACAGCCTGCATGTCTACAAGTACGGCATGCACAGCAACTGTTGGTTGATGACAAGCCTTTAGCACAGTTGTGTATGTGCACGTCGTATCCAGGAAGGGAAGGCAATGATTTCAACTCCGGTGAACAAAGCCAAACGGCGGATTGATGAGTACAAATTAAGCATTAGATGGGTTCAGTTTACATCAAGAATATCACTGTTACAACCTAGACGAATAAGTTCCATTGGGCAGACTTTACCAGTTTAGACATAATCACAGCAAATTGAGGCTTTCAATCGGGTAAATGGTGGTTTGCGAGTGGGTTTGTAAGCCGGTGTTGTACGGTTGATGTTTGTGCGTAGGTTCAAGCACTTGCCATGGGTCGATAGTGGTGCTGCTGTCGGGGTTGCAGCATGGAATACTTGCAATGGATTGATGTTGCTGATTGCTGGTGGAGTTGAAGTCTGAAAGGGTGAGTCAGTGAAATGTAGTCGTGGCGGGTAGGCTGTGGCTTCTCCATTGGCTCAATAGTGACGACCAAAACACGCACCGAAAAAAGTCCTACATTCTAAGTGTCGTAACAGGCGTAGCTTAACCACTGACACGTTCTGCCGGACCTTGTTTTCTCGCCCGTTTCCTGTCCCATGTGCTGACTGCGGACAAGGTGCAATACGTCAAAAGTATGGCGGAGCAGATTGCTTCTTCTAGTTGATATGTTCGTGAGGCGAGAGAATGGCACAGGGATACCGTGGAGGACCGGCAGAGGCAGGTGCCCGTGTTTGACTTGCCTGTCCGGCATTTTCTTGAAGCGTGTACACATCGAAAGAAGGATGCTACTCTTTGGGCCCCAGCGTGCTTACATGTCATTACCAAGAGCTGTTTTGGCTTACTGGTGCTGCAGGCGAGTGTGTATGGAGGTGCGAGGTTTCTGATAGATGGAATGCTCGTCCGATGTCGGGCAATTGGTCTCCGGACGAGCAGGCGGGTGTTGGCATCACAGTCACCAGACAGAATCGAAGATTTGAGGTGGCAAAAGCAGAGGCTGGAGCCGCTTTGCTCCACTGCGTCCTGGCGACTCAGGCCCACATCCTGAAAGCCCTCTGTCGTAAACTTTGCAAGTGCTCTCTGAAAGGAGGCCGTCCCTGGCCTCGCAGCATGGCTGGCATCACTCAAACTGGCACATTGTGAAGCTCTTGCCAGTGATTGGTGTCAGAGGCACACGTGAAGCTGTTGCTGGTGCCGTGTCGCATGAAATTCGGAAGGCAAGGCCACAGCAACCTGGAGGAGGTGCGGGCTGCAGCAGGGGGTCCCGGAAGCTCTGTGACACGTTGTGCAGTGGCGAACTGAAGCTTGGCATGACGGGTCCACGGTGAACCAATGGTGCATGAGCATGTTTTTACATGTTGGATGGTGCCACAGTGTGTTGAGCACACATGCTTGTTGTTGCAGTTAGGGGTGTTCGTGTTGCAAATCCGCAAACATTCGATTGCTGTCGAAGTCGTGCTTCGCTACTGCCATCTTCTTGCACAGCAAACTTGGCAAGGGCGATGTGCCCATTCTCGGCAGGGGCGGTTCTACGCCATGCAAACCCTTGCTGCCTTGCTTCTCCTGCGCTTGTGAGGATGTTCGTTCCACTCCTGAGAAGGGTAGTTCAATGCTGCATGCGGAGGCCTTTTTGCTTTGAAGTCTCCTGCAGACCCGTACTCGCCGCAGCACGCAAGGAGGATGCACGGACTCGAACCTCTTGGCAGCGCCCTAAACTCATAAAGCAGACTGATCGCAATGGGAGTATGCTGCTGGCACGTAGGCGACGGCGTGTCCAGTGAGAAACCAAGTGACCACAAGGTAACACACCCGTTTTCACGTGAAGAGTCCTTACCCTTTCTGATTTCTCCTTCTATCGCAGCGATGCGCAGTGCATGCTGAGTGCTGAGTGCGGCTGCAGGTCTTCCCGGTTTGGAAGGAGCTGGCGGAGGTTCTTCCCCTGCGGCCCTTGGAGCGCCACCGCCTCGCCAAGGCGGCGACTGGCGCGACTCTGCCGAGACGGCAGTCGAGTGACGGTCGTGCACACGGGCGCATGTTTTTGTTCGGGGGGTATGCTGAGGCCTCGGTCGCGGCAACTTCGCCTTCGTGTCAACACTTCACCACTTTTGGGCCTGAGGAGGAGCATGCACCAGCAGGGTGCAGAGCTCCGAATACTTCATGACTACTTCATGCCTCGACTCACGCAAAGCAGCGGCAACTGCAGGAAGGAGGGAGACAACAAGTAAAAAGCGGATGCCACCATGGCTGCAACATGCTGCAACCGGAGCGGCACATGCTTCGGGACAGAAGGCGGTATTGGGGGGGCATGGCGGTCGGGAATCAAGCTGCACCTGCGAACCCCCGTGCTTCAAACCCGAAGGCATTAGAACCGCCGAGGTTGCATTAGACACTGGGAGCACCCAGAGAGCACCATGGCCGCAACACGCGCCAGGAGGCAGAATGTAGCCCCCACCCCGTGGCGAGTTTTAGAATTTAGGTGGCGAAGGTCGATGCCCCTGGCAAGTTCTGCAGTACATTTTCAGCCTCCCACTAGGCCTGCTTCGTTGGGCACACAGCCTAGCGAGAAGGAGCGCCCCCCTGCCGAGAACCTTGTGGAACATCAGACGTACCCTTTCACTCTCGATGGCGAGCCGTTGGTTGCCAGTAGCGGAATTTGTATTTCAGAACGGGGCCCCAGCCGAGTTGCATCATCCTGTCCTTAAAACCTACAAGCTGATTCACTTTGGCGCATGACGGGCATCAAACACCAACAGTGAGTTACGAATTCGTACTTCCCTCGGTTTTCAGCTGTATCCGGTACCCGACATGTAGTCGAGTCACAGACGAAACAATGCAAGAGGCACTGAAGTTACAATCGTCATGCACTGCCTCCACTCCCTCAGCACACACCCCACCCTGCCCCCCAACTCTAAAGGCAATCCCAATACGTGTCGGGCACAACATGCTCAATTCAAGTGCAAGCTCACAGCTGCCACAATCTCTTTCTCATGTCCTGTGGCTGATGTCTGTGCCAAGACGTGGCGAATTTGGAACCAGGTGGTGGGTGTTTCGCCAATTTTGGCAAGGAAGCAATCGCCCTCCAGGGACGTTGTTTCAGACACGGCAGCAGTGCGAGTACTGGAACACGTGCCTACCGCGTCCGATGAACAAGCATGCATTTTAGAATTTAGGAGCCGGTGGCGAAGGTCGGTGCGAGAAGGAGCGCCCCCCTGCCGAAAACCTTGTGGAACATTAAACGTCCCCTTTCACTGTCGATGGTGAGCTGTTGGTTGCCAGTGGCAGAGTTGGTATTTCAGAACGGTTCCCCCGCCCAGTTGCAACATCCTGTCCTTACAACGTAATAGCTGATTCACTTTGGCGCATGACAGGCATCAAACAGCAAAAGCGTGTTAAGAAGGGCTTGGTATCGGCATGTCGAACAAGCCTGTCCACCGCAGTCCGGCACAAGGCCCGAGTGGAAGTCTGTGAAAGCATCGCTTGAAATCAGATCAGCACACGTGGCAAACGCTGCATAGTTCTGCGTAGTCGGATCCTGTCATCCTCCATCTGTGCCTTGACCCAACATCAACACGACAGTCACGAGGCCTAGGGCCTAGGCAACAGAACAGGACCGCAGGTGGGAGTCAGCAACGAAATGTCTTCCAGTACTCGCACGGGGCAGGCCTCGGAGCTGTCAGTGTTGTTGTTGTTGTTGTTGCCGAACGAAACCAAGCCTAGACCCTATAGAGGCATGTCGCCTTTTAATGATACAACAATTAGTACGCGATGAAACCTCATGTTTTCTTGATTTCCGAGCGTTGGAACCGGTCAGTGGTCGGGGGTAGAGGGTGGAATGGTCGTAGCTGGTGCCTCGTATCCAACTCTGCCAGGAAATGTCCCGATGCTCAAGAAACCGCGCATGACTTGCAGCCCCTGATGCAGGACAGCAGGCGCTATCGACTTTTGGAAGCAATCGGCACCGGTGCCACATCAAGGGTCCACTTGTGTGTGGACAACGGTGGCAACGTGAGAGCCGTGAAGCGGTCGCCTGACAGCACGAGATGTGCCGGAGGGTCAGAACACCTGTGCCTGTCCCAGGGGATGTTTGCTTTATTGGTTGGCGTGGCAAGTGCAAGCATATCTCCCGACTCAGACAATATTAAAATCCTCTTCTGATCCCCGGCGTTAGTTGCCCGTCCTTCTCCTCTGCTGGGCAAGGCAGGCAGGAGGTGTATACGTGGGGAAATGCGATGGGGACAGGAAAAGTGCCGAAGCGCTAACCACAGGTGCAGAAGTATTGGCGTGGCCCAAGCACTCTTTGACATTGTGTCTCCTTCGCAGGGCACGTCTTTGACTCTCGCCTCTGCCCACCAGCAGGTACTAGTAACAAGTTAAGCACCAAACAGCAGTCCTACTTTTGCTTCTCATGGGATCGATGCTCGGTTGCTTTTTGGCTGTTACAGCACGCCAGCTGCAACAAGCTGCAGCAAGTACAGTAAACTGCACAAAACCATGCAAAGCCTCAGAACCTGAAGCACCAAGACGTGAGCAGAAGCCGGATGCTGAAGCCCCAATCCACAACACATATTATGTAAGGTGTGTTCTTGCATCGGATTTGGGTCCAGCAAATCCACGCACGCACACGAGGATTGGCTTATCCCGATTGCGGCGACAAGGGAATTTCAGATTAATTGAGGAGAGGCTGCACCAAGAGATTGCTCCGTGGTCTTGATATGATGCATCTGCCAGGTATCAGTAGGAGCGCCTCGCAAGGAATGTGACAGTCGCATCAGCCCAGGCCATCCACCTGTCCCTCCAGCACGCGAGAATTGTAGGCACGGCAGAACCTCTCGCAGTCACTCCAATGTTCTTCTTTCAGAGAGGGAGCCGCAAGAGACAAAGGTAGACTAATTCGGGAGACTTTGGTCGCATGCTGTCAACACATTCAAAATCTGTTGCTGGGTGGGTGGACGGGCAAACGGGCGGCGGGCATGCATGTGTAGCAGCTCGGTCTGTCACAGATTGTTAAGTAGTATGAAATGAAGCTGGACCACAACACATCGATATTTCAATTTTCCAACCATATTCCCAGCGATGCTTTCCAAAGTAATTACACATTTTGCTAAGGGAGCTCTAGATGCTTTCGGCTTGTGACCATCATGAAGTACAAGCCATTGGTTGTTTAAGCCCTTGTTTCTGCACTCTCGCTACTGTTGGTCTGCTACCATCACGATGCGTTTAAAGGTCCCGAAAAGCCCAATCTTTTTGCTTCTGCGGGATTACAATTGGAAAATGGGTTTGTCGGCTTCTTCGGGACATCTTGATGGATTGGGCTTCCACCAACAGGTTGTTTCAGTGATCTCTCGACACTTTCGCTTCGCGAACATCAACTTCGAATCAACTCTGGTTTTGATGCTGCAGCCTAGTTGTGTAGCTGGCATTCTCTTTGTCATGGTCTACAATGCTGTACAGCCGAGATTCTGATTCCCAAAGAATCATACCACGACCTTGCGCAGGTTCCTTACTTGCTGATGTTGTGCATTGTTGTTGACTTTTGTCCCAAGTTCAAGTCACTCACAAGTCCAGTGACAGTTTCTTCAACAACTTGGCCGGCAGGAATCGGACATCTGGTGGCTGGAGCCCACTAGGAGTATTGTAAAGCGATGCAAAGCGCATGAACATTCAAGCCTCATCACTGTACGGCGCGTAACTACGACGTGCTCATGCCGTTGCTGCCGGGAACCTGCGATCTGCTCGTGATGCTGTGTGGTTTATGTTTCGCCATATCATTCATTTAATGGTCGCATCGAGCTTGAGCCCGATAAAGTTGTTGTTCAATACTGCGTCCATGGTTGTATCACATGAATCTAACATCGATTATCATCGATTGCTCAAGATTTCCCATCACCACAATTTGCTACTTCGCGAGGTTGCAAAAAAGCACATGTCAAACCCAGGCTGAGACAAGCAAACCAATATGAGTTGCTGTGTAAAGCGTACACTGACACTGGATAAGCTGAGCAGATTTCTCATCACACTGTTTTAGCAAACAAGCGAATTTGAAGAAAGCGTTTTGCACGGCTGATCCATGGTCAACTGTTTTTTCTCTGTTTTTCCTTCAAAAAGCAAAACTGTAATATTGAGCGAATATGTGCTGCCCATCTGTCAGAGCACACTTTGCAAAGTTTAGTTCAATGTGGAATCACAGCTATGCCGGGTTTAATGCCACACATGAAAACATTTTCCCAAAACTCAAGCGCATAATTGCAATTTGCACGACCTCCTGTACCGGGCCATCATTCCAGTATTGTGGTAACATGGACACTGTACACGCTCGACTTGCGCACACCGGATGCTCTGTTGGGCTGTATAGATGTCGTTCATGTTGATGGTGCGGCAAAACTCACCAAGCATGAGCGAGTGTTTAGTGTCTGGTGAAATGAGCAGCAGCCCAGACAAGAGCACCTGAGAGCGTGGACCTTCGTCGCCTGGACAGGCATCGTAGATGTGGTTGAGACGGAGCAGGACGGAAGCAGACCGCATTCCATCAGACATGCCCCTTACAAATTGAAGGAGTTGTGCCTGGTCCTGGAACACCTTGGCGGCGGGAGCTTGGACCAAGTGGTTGCTCGTGGACCTCTCCAGGAGTTGCAGGCCTCATAGGACCCTCTTTCTCGCTCTATCTCTATCTCTCTCTCTCTCTCTCTCTCTCTCTCTCTCTCTTTCTCTCTCTCTCTCTCTCTCTCTCTCTCTCTCTGCGGCGGCTTTTGTGCGTCAACTCGGCAAGGCTTCAGAGGTGTTTCGGCAGATTGCAGAAGGCTTGCAGCACATGCATACCAGGCCTGAGTGTTTATCTTGGTTAGCTGTGCAAGGATTGGAATCCTAGAACATCGTCTTCGTTTCAGCATGCAACAACGGAGAAACCAGCATATACCAGCATCCAAGGATGAGTCACACTGCGATTCGAGGGGCATCTTTAGGCCTTGATCACGTGCTCGGAGATCTGCAGGGGATTTGCACATGGCGATTTGAAGCCTGCCAACATCCTCCTGTCTGACTCCGAGCAACTACAGGCCTCGGCACATCCCCAGACTACAGAGGCTCGAGGTTAAGGGACTCGCATGTGCACAGGTCAAGCTTGCAGATTTTGGCCATTCAAAAGTGGTAGATGATGTCCTGACCTCCGACATTGCTGGCACTCCTCTATACATGGCGCCGGAGTGCTTTGCAAGAGAGGCCTCTCTGCTGCAACTCTGTACTGGAGACTGGAGCCCCATGCAGTCCTCGAAGCTTGATCTAGGCGGCTGAAGCCTTGGATGCCCGAGCGGCTGATCTCTGGGCCCTCGGTGTGCCGCTTGCCTCACAAGGGAACCAAAAATACCTCAGGACTCAAGTCATCGGAAACAACTCATTCTGCAGCATCTCATACGGCGTCATGTAAGGATTCTATTCGAGCTGCTCACAGGGCACTGCCCCTTCTCGGGTACAGGCGCGGAGCTGCAGCAGGCAAGGCACGGTGAGGCCACGGCCTCATTGCTGCACCTTTTGGCGCTTTGCCAGGCTATTCGATCATGCAACATCTCCTTCTGGGTCAATGACGACATCCCAGTCCCTAGTGGCAGTGCGCAGTCTTTGGTCCTTGCGCTTCTCAAGCGACAGCCTTCGAGGCCAGGTTCCAACCAAAAAGTGGTTTCCATGTCGCGACGTGCATTGCAACGTGACAGCTTTCGAGGAGGGCCACGCTGGAATGGTGTTTGATCCACTCTTTTGTTGCTGGCCCTGGGACCGTCGGACGCCTCCTTTTGAGAGATGGCCTCCGTGCGACCGAAGCACCTGAGATCCCAGAATCCGAAGGTGCTGGTTCGTGCTTTGTGCAACATGCAAGCGGCGTGAGATTGGGGCTTGCCCGCGTCGCAGATGCTATGCTGCAAGAGCGCTACCTGCTGCCCATGCTGACCGAGATGCACATACGAGCCTTTGCTGGAGAGAACTGAACCGGTCATGTGCTGTGAATAGGGTTTTCGACTCGTCACACAAAACGAGCAGGTGCGGGCAGTCATGCCCGGTACGACTAATCGTCTTCGTCCTTGAGGATCGCGAGCGACAGCCGTCGAACTCTAGTTGTGCCGTAGTTTTGTTGTCACATGCTCGAACTCCTTGCATGTGACCGGGATACTACAAAGACGGTGATAATTGAACATGCACGGCCTCGCAATCTCAACTGCGAATCCCAGCTCGGATTGGCATCACAAAATCCCTACTATGGACAGGCAGTGACAGGTGCAGGCGCGGAACCACCACTGAAACGTCGAATAACTGAATAACAACAGAGATTCGACGACGCCGGACACGCCATGACACAGAGACACACCCACGGTAATCACATGTTAAACATTACTATCCTAGACATCGCCTGGAGCGACAAGGAGAGCTGCGCAGCGACCTTCGCAAGTGGATGCTGCTTAGCGCTTCAGGTAGCACAGCTTTTTGATCTGCAAGCCTGCCGTGTGCATTGGCTAGACGTTGGTTTTTTTGGCGGATTCGATATGATGTGTTTTCATGCTTAGGTTGAAATTTCGATGTGCTGCTATGACAATTGGCAACGAGGTCAGGCCGTACTGTCGGAGCGTAAAGTATTCGGGACAGACTTTCATAGCTGTCAGCTTCGATCCAGAAAATTCAGTGGGGCTTGGGGAGCAACACGAAGCCGTGCAGAAGGTCCGCAAAGTAGGCTCGTGAAGCATCCTGCAGAATGAGGCAGTCTACGCAACAAGTCTGAATGATCTGAATGCAAGCAAGATTCGAAGTAGCGAGAGCGTCATTGCGCCTGCCGTGTGAATTGTCAGGTCGTGGCTAACTTCGGCCTCGCAAGCTTGGTAGCCTGTGCTCGGGAGCGCATCGAGAATGCCAGAGCCGAGTTGCTTTGTGCTGCCGGGCTGCGACATATTGCTTTGGGTGTCGCTGCACAGGCACTTTACAGATAATAAGCGGCACGTCTGGCAGTTCAGTTTTCGCAGACGAGGTCATGGCCTTCCATACGGGCGCAAAGCGTCCGGCATCCAGCAACGTGCAAGAGGCGCTGCTCGGAGGTTCGCACGGCAGCGTGCATCACTTGACAGATGCCTGTCCAAGTTCTAAGAGGAGTTGAAGTGATACTGAGCCGTCGCGTGCTTGTTGCTAGTTTGGTGGTGGCTACGACAATAATTTGCAAGTGATCTTCAAGCCAGCAACTCCATAAAGCCACCCAGATGTCGTTTGGCCCGAAGCACCACCGCAGCTCTATGCGTTCTTCCGTTAGGTGTCAAGGGATTTGGTCGGTCATGGTCAGTCATTGATGGCACGAGGCACCGAGGCGGTTCCGCGGTTGCACGTTACATTGCATCTCGTCCCGGCCGTGTCCTCCGAAAAATCCGAAGTCATTCTTCAATTGTTTTGCGCTCCCGCGTCACACGCTTGCAGTGCCATGCACAGTGCTGGGGTGCTGCGCCCACCAGTGACGTGCTCATGTGGCCTTCAGGTTCGACTACTTTCGACTCCTCCGGGCTCCGTGCTGTGTGGAATTTTCCTAGATGCCGGCAATGGGGTGCAACTTCTTTGTCGCAGTCAGCCGGCACACACTGCATACGTTGCATGCTGTGCGTGCTCCGGGTATGGTTCTTGGGTATGTAGGGCTTCTTCGACTACTGCAGCACTGCAGCTGCTCTGTCACTGCAGATACTGCGGGCGTAAGTGTTCACAGACGGCGGTCCATCTCATCGGCTGGCTCTCCACTCACTCGGCAGGCACCCGGCGGCACCTTCCCGAAGCGTCGCCTCCATGCGATGCTGGCGAAAGACGCTCAGCCGCACACGGCCACGACCTGCGCTTGTCCGCCTCAGAATGCGACAGCTGAAGCAAGGCTTGAAGGACAGCGCAGAGAGCCACAAGGCCAATGAGGCGGGGACGGAAGCGAGCGTGGGGCAGCTCTGCTCCGGGCGGCACGCGATGCACAGGACGAAGCGGCAGCACGGCAGCGACGCCTCGCAGCTCGACGGAAGGCATCTTCTAGGACTGAGAGCATTGTTCTTACAAAACGTGCGTAAGCTGCAGTTGTGTTCCGTGACGCAGGCAACTCGCACCTGGAATTTCAGCGGCCGGTCAGGCATCGATACCCTTGACTTCATGAGTTCTTTGCCTGGTCTTGCCGCCTTGACATGACACAAGCAGGCATCAAGACCGTGCTGGATGTTGACTTCCGTGCCTCAGCATAGCACCTGCCGGTTGCTTCGTTTGCTTTACAGCCGAAAGAGCTGTCGTATCGCCGGTGGTGCCTTGCTTGTGTTGCACTAGGAAGGATGTGACATGGATCGTTGGACTTCATATGGAGGATCCTCAAAGAAACCATTTACACTGGAAAGGATCAAAAGCATTGTCTGACCTTCCTCAGGAGCGCAATGAGGAAAAGCGGCCATGTGGCCGCAGGCATGTGTTGCGAATGCCTTGCGGATGGTGGACAGGGAGGGAATGTCTGTCGACAAAGACATAAACAAAGTACGTGATAATTGGGGTCATGCAAATGAGATCAAACAAGCCCCACTACCACTACGTGCAAGGCTTCCGACATGGGCATTTGCTAACAATCTTCAATCCACCGGCGATGGAGGAAATCACGCTGCTTGACATGACAACGGCTTCCGGAAGCCACCAATAGCATCCAATAGCAGTGGCTTCCGTCCGACCTCGCTCCCCCCGCCGACCTTCGCCTCCAAGAACCGAGCAGGTGCTGACCAGAACGGATCAAGACGACCCCCCCCGCCCCGGCCCCCCCCCTCGGGCACGTCTAGGACCTCGGACCTCGAAGTCTGGCTTTGTCCTTGACGTGGTCCGGCTAGCACATGGGTTTTGATGCCTAGTTCCACTCTGATCGTTTTCTGAGGCATGCAAGAGGTGGAACTTCAACGAGCAAGGAGACACGCCTTCACTCAAAGCACCTTGGAAGGAATAGTTCGAAGATCGGTCTCAAGTGTCGCAGCCTGGCTGTGCACCGAGGAGCTTTCCAAATGAATCCCGAGGACAGGGAGCTGTAATTGGATTTCGCATCCTCGATGACGATACGGACAAGCAGAAGGAATAATCGGTCGGCCGACGTCTCGAAGGCAGAATGTCGCAACGATCAGAGTTCAAATTCATTCGGTGTTGGAGCTTGCTCTGCACGAGGCCGTGGTTCACTTCGTCAACCGCGTCGAATCGCGAGAGCAGCCTGCAGATGTACAGAGAAAAGGAGCGGCAAGGTCGGAAAAAACGGAGCCGTTGTCGAAGACACTGCGCCGAAAGATGCTGAGAGCATTAATGTGTGACTGGGGTAGTGCGCAATTAACCTATAGTTGTGCTGTCAAGATGATACGCCGTTTCACGAACTGGAAATGGCCGGCGCTTGTTCAAAAAGCTGGTCAGTGGCTAATCCTGGCTTCTTTCTTGCTCTGGCTTGTCGTGGGCTGACGTGTACTCGTGGCACAGCAGTGCCGCTGACAGGATGCATGCATCAAGTCGGAGATTTTGGTTGCACGTGCGGGCATGGTCAAGCGCACAGCTGTCGTGAGAGTCGCTACACTTGTGCGGGCTTTGAGCGCATCTTTGCACACACCTCCACTGCCGAGTTCGAGCCGGGATCATTTGCCGGCGAGAGGTGGGTCAAGATGTTTCCGGCTGTTCTCAGCATCCGGCTTTCTGCAAACGGCCAGTCACGAACTCGCATCTTCCTGGCCCGCCGCTACCGTGAGGCTAAACTCGAGGGAGCGATGCCAGAGCCCAGTGTCAGACCGTCCTTGGAGGAAGAAGTACGAGCCCCCCAAGTCGCCAGTCATCAGGCCCTCTCCACCAGGCTCGCTTCTGACTTTGAAAACGGACACCCCGGGAAAAGACATGAATCCCAGAATCAAACAGGGAGCCTGCTGTTACTCCGACCCAAGCATCGGCAACATGCACAAGAGTGCATTTCAGGCTCTCCGCTGTGGGACCATGAGCAGAAGGAGCTTTGACAAGCACTGGCAGCATGCCGTATACGTATCGTGTAACACGTCAGGAGAAGGAACGAGCTCTCGAGAACCTTCACGAGATCGAAGCTATGGCCTGGCGCTCGCCGAGCGGAGCAGAGACTGTTTTACCTGCAAGCTCACAGGATTTCGCTTTGCCGGAACACGAGGCAGGGGGGCCCGGGCCCATCTTGTGCATTCTCTGCCTTGTCAAGAATCCGCTCCCACTCGTGGACTCACTAATTATGCCACTACTGCCGGACTATCCCATAGAGAGTGGAGGGTTGCATCGTGCGACCAAGGGTATCGGATGACCGGTCGAGAGAACGGTTCGGACACTGGTCCTGTTGTTCCGCAGCAGTTGCATGCTTTACACCTTCGCCAGTGCTTGGCACATGTCGCGGATTTGGCAATTTTCCGACAACGCTGGTGGAAATTGCTGGTGCGGTCCGGCTTAGGGCTCTAGGCTCTAGGTCTAAGTACACCTTAACGCAGTTCCGGAACTGCATCCCTCTACAGCAGCAATCCGGAATCCTATCCTAGTCCTGTTCTTGAAGGCCGACCCAAATATGCCACAAGTGATTTCTTCTCTGGGCTGCTCTGCAGCTGCACAAGTGCTGTGCGTACGACAACGGCCTGTTCAATTCTAGTTCTCTCGAGCATGCAAACGCTTTAGCTGTATTGCACAGAGACCGAGGGGCAGCAGCAGGATTCGCGGTGTGACAACGCATGGAACTCTGTAAAGCTTGTCTTGGAGTTTTCTGCCGCTGATGCAGTCTTTGTTTCGCTATTCATGAGGGTTTAGGGTTTGCGTCAAAAGCCGGATACTTTGACCCTGGGAGTGGTGAAAGTGGTCCATCGTCCCGTCCACGTTCCAGAAGTCTTTGCCACAAGGAGGACGAGTTGTCGCCCCTGGACGGCGAAGGTAAGGAGGAGATCCAAACATGAGCGTGAACTGCACTCGCATTCTATCTACAGTCTAGAAGAATCCCGGCACAGGAGCACCACATCAAGGCCTGCGCCGGCAAAGTCGGCAACACGTCTACGGCCTTGTGTCCTGGGATTCCCTGTGCAGTTCAACATGGTCGGCTTCGATGACCCCAAGTCGGACGATGTCATCTGTCGTCAATACAGCATGCCAGCCCGAAGCGACTTCCCCCACAGCGTCACACCGAAGCATCCGAGGAAGCTGCACCAGTTTGCAAACAGGCACCTTTCGATGCTTGCATGCTGGCGCATCCTTCACATTTGTGTATGCTGAACCGTGCAATGTTGCTTTCATGCAGGCCAGCACTCTCAGCACTTCGAGCCACTTAGCCGTGCCTGAGGCTGGGGACAGCTTGAAGCTCGGACGGGTCAGGTTCAGCATCTTTGCATGCTGCAGGCAGGTGTTACGAGATAGCGCAGCTTGCGTGCTGAAAACTTTCGAAAAACCGGTACTGCCCAACCAACAATCACCTGGACACACTGTGTGTGATGGCTGCCAGTGTGCGCGTGAAAAAGCAGGAGTCGCCGAAATCTAGAGTTTCGTGAGTGCACAGTCAACCGCAAAGTTTCGCGAGATCGCGGTCTCGAGATCGCGGAAGCTAGCCGAACGTCTTGGGGTTCTTGCAAGAGCTAGCTTCTTCCTGTTAGACTTCTTTTGGTGTGCGTGTACCCGAAATGGGCGAGGGACCTTGATTGTGTGTTTAACATGTCTTGTGCAGTTCGGCATATTGTTGGCCCACTTGTTCGGTGCGACGGCACTTGGTGTCTGCGGCGGAAAGTGCCTTTCATGGCCGCGATGTCCTGCAGCAGGCGCCACCGGCGCCATGGATAAAGATGCAAGGAGCTGCGGGGTGCCCGAAGCCAACGGCATACCGGTGCCAGAGACTTGTGGGACGAGCAGGACCGTTGAGGTCGCTTTCAGCTTCCAGCGGAGCGCCGACTCCGAACCTACAGCATGGCATGCAAATGGCGCTTCCTCTGCAATAGTGGAATGACAGCGCCTCCTATGCAGCCGGTCCGGGCGAAGTACATGCGGGAATTCCTTCCAGGACACGTTCCACAGGACTTTCCCCGTCCAGGTCAGCGATTACCGGCTTACCTGGTGGCCATCGGCCCCAACGTGGCCCTGGAAGGAGAGAGTACACACGGTGCAGGAGCACCACATCAAGGCATGCGCCGGCAAAGTCGGCGACACGTCTACCGCACGAATGGCCACTGGGATTCTCGATGACCCCAAGTCGGACGATGTCATCTGTCGTCAATCCAGCTCGACAGCCCAAGTGGCTTCCCCCACAGCATCACACCGCAGCATCCGAGGAAGCTGCACCAGTTGCAAACAGGCACCTCTCGATTCCTGCATACTCGACCGGGCCAGCACACTCAGCACTTCGGGTCACTTAGCCGTGGCTGATGCGATGGCTGCCAGTGCGCGCAAAGCGGAGCGATGGAGACAGGTGGAGCAGCACAAGCCGCAAAAATCCAGAGTTGCTTGAGCGCACAGCAAGCCCGGAAAGTTTCTCGAGATTGCCGAAGCTAGCCCAAGGGCCGAAGGGTTTCTTGGGATAGTCAGCTTGGTGTGTTTGTCGCGCGACGGGCGAGAGCCCTTGATTGTGTGTTTAACATGTCTTTCGCAACTCGGCGTGCGCTTGGCCCACCTGTTCGGTGCGATGGCCCCTCAAGCATCGATGTTTGGCGTTTGCAGCAGAAAGACCTAGCTTGCGTGCCCGCCCCTTTTTTCATAGGGGCTTCTATCCTGATGCTTGTTGGTAGCGAAGCTTCATAGCTGGTTCTGCGGGGCGTGCTCTGCTTGCTTTTCCTTTGTGCCTTTCATGGCTGCGATGTCCTCGCTTGGGACAGTGTTGCAGGTGTCCGTGGACGAAAGGGGCGGCAGAAATAAGGATACAAGGAGCAGCCGCTCCGGGATGTGCTCGAAGCCAACGTCATACCGGTGCCCCCAGAGACCCTCGCACCGTCCAGTGCTAGGACAGCCATCTCTACTTACCTGCCAACTCAGGACCCAACATGTGCGAGTGGAGGACAGAGCTGAAACCTTCATGTTCGGCCTCTGCGGCCGGTCTGTGGAAGATCGTGCAGCCTGCCTATGGTCTGAGTGAAGCCCAGGAGATCCCCTGGGCTTCAGCGACCTTTATCAAGAATCATCGAGCATCGATTCAAAAGCCCGCCGGCAAATCAACTAATTAGCTTTTTTCCATCAAGGAGACGAGGAGCCAAAAGAATACTTGGGTGTGAAGATCTATGTGAAGCGCGGCTGCTTCTTCGACACGAGGCTCACGACGACCTGGAGCCGGACGCGCAAGGTTTGAAGCGGTACAGGCGGATGATCGCTAAATATCGCTCAGCTTCGATGGCCAGTCCACCTGGTGATGCCTGAGCCTGAGTTCCTTTTTGGTGGGGCCTCCGAGCAACTAGTGCCGTGGTCGCGGAGGTGAAGGAAGCGGCGAATCAAGGGCAAGCTGCGCTGAAGTTTCTCAAATTTCGAGGCTTTGGTGCTGACGAGCTACCTCGACGCCAGACCCTTCGGCTCGACAACGAGAACTTCACTTTTGCTGAGCAGGGAGTGCCAACATCCTGGAGGTCAGCTCGAACAAGATCACACGGTGGCGAGACCTCGTTTGGCAGCCGAGGGTGCCAGAATGGCAGCATGCACCGACCGCTTGGTGTACAACCTGAAGCTGTGTGCCGGGAACGGCAGCTGATTACCGAGGTTTGCAACCTGTATGATCGCGTGAAAGGTACCAGCCTCCTTGCAAAGGAACGCCAAATGTCATCCTAAAAGCTCGTGCAGCAAGACATGGCGCCAAGATGCTGCTGTGTACACCAAAGCGATGACGGATGAACTCTATCGTCGTCACCGGGAGACGGAATGCATCAATGTCGTGCAGGCTCCAGCCAACGAGCAAGAGGAAGGTCCCCCCTCGGCATTGCGCACAGCACAAAACCAGCGGCGAAAGTGCGAGTATTCCCGTACGATCCCGAAGTATCCAACACCTGAGGGTTTGAGCTAAGCTACCCCTGTACAGTGTTCCGCTTGTACAGTACCACTGCGCACCGCAGCCCTCTTTGTGGCTTCGAGAAGAGGCGCGTTGCTCTTGCGCCCATGTACCAAGCCGTAGGTAAGAAGCCCGGTTTTTAGCCTTCGCAGAAAGGCCAAAATGAAACAAGTTTGGGCCAACATTCCTTTTCTAGAAATGTGACGTTGAACATGTTGCAATTCGACATGTGCTTAGGCCGCTGGTTCGTTGCGACGGCACCTCATGCATCGATTGGTAGTGTGCGCAGCAGAAAAGCCCAGTTTGCGTGCCCCGCATGTTTTGTGATAGAGGTTGCTACACTGATCTACACTGATACATAGGTTACTCTAGTTTTTTCGTTTTCCTCATGATCGGGAGAGGAACCGGGGGCAGGTGCCATGTAATCTAAATGGTTCGAGGTTAGGTGCTAAAGCGATGCCCCTTTTGAGAGTTCGCAGGTCGTCCGCTGGTTAAGGGGAGGGAGCAAAAGCGAATCATACCCGGTCGATAGTGTGTTTCGAAGGCGCGGCGACGGTTCGAGAGCCCCGCCCTCGTCAACCAAGAAGCCGCGATGGCTACGCTCGAGGCCGTAGGTTCCCGCAAGCTGAGGCGCACCGCCAACCATGGGAATCGGTGCCAGCCCGATGCTGCGAGCAGCTCTTGACATGGTGGCAGCTGACCACGCACGGGCCTGAGACGGGCAGAAGCTATGCCCGCGGAACACACGTGGTCGCGGCTGAGGCACTGGAGGCACTTGAGCAGGCTCGTGCTTGTTTGTGTTTTGCTTCCGTCCCGTCGTTTGTCGTCCTTGTCCGTTGTTTCGCATTTCGGCATGCGACGTCAAAGGCCTACTAGGTGCTTGTAGGCGATCAGGGCGGGGCCGGAGGGGCAAGCGGGCGGGTGGTGCGAGCGGCACGGGGCAGCAAATCCGCACTCTCGGCCTCCTGCAACATGCAGAAGCCTCAACCTTTAACAGTTGCAGCCCAGTGCTAGTGAATCACACGGGAGCCACAGATGTGAAAACTCATACATGCAGAGAATCATCGAATGAAGCAGCACTGCTCAAAGTTACCACGGTGGAATGAGACCATCCAGCTTGCATCCACTTAGCAGAGCATGCGAAGAAAGATGCATCTCCTGGCTGTCAAGCACAGAACAAGACATGGCACTGGACCGGTTACATCGCGCTCAGAACTGTCACATCAGGAGGGCCTGGAGCCTCGAGAAGGAGCAAAGGTTTTTCAGAGTAACCGTAACCTCGGGCAAAATGCACTACTCCCGCGAGGGCCGAATGAAGTGAACAAAGATCCGCATGTTCAACAAGCATGTCGTCCTCCAGTTCTGCCAGTTTCAACTTGACGATCCTCACTCCGATGAAGAGCCTCGGCCGAAAAGCCAGAGATGAGTAAGAGGGCAGTGTTTTATCTGATCCCACTCCCCTAGCTTTTGAACCTCAGAGTTCCTGGAGCGATTCTCAGTGAATCTGTCGGGTGACACTCGCATTAGGATCGTAGCGTCGTCAAGCCTGGAGAAGGCACTGGAGGCGCTGGCATGCGCTTGCCTACTCGACGACAGGCTTTGCTGCTGCCATGTCGTGTTGAGGCAGATCCGCACTTGGACCTGGAGCCAGCCCGATTCTCTTGTCAGCTCTTGATGGAGTGGCAGCGTCTGCCGGCGGCTTACAGCATCTACCGTGCCGTGATGTGACAGACCCTACAGAGCTCGCATTGCCGTGCGCTGCTTTCTGCAAGAGAGTTGCCTACTCAACATGATTTTGCTAGTGGCTGGCCTGCGCGTGCATTTGTCTTGATTGCTGCAGGATCAACAACAGTGCCGACAATTTATATTGACACGCACACACACAAGGTTCACTTAGCGTCGAGCCCACCAAACACGTGGCTCTGCCTCTCTACACAGTGCATTCCGATGCTGTCCGTGCACCAAGCCAAGGGGACTGCAGAAATCAAGCCGGATTTCCACTGTGCCCCAAGAAACGAAGCAGCGATGCAAAGTTTGAAAAAACTCTGGCCTGTCAAAGTTGCAGCTCAAAGATGCAGCCGAAGGTTGTAGTTCATGGAAAATCGGGTTCTTGGCTTGGCCCCTCGCCACGCAAGTGCGCTACACTGCTTCATCTACTTCTTTAACACTGCCACGACAAATTCCGGCACACAGCGAAGATGGGAATACGTTTTCACAAACAGACGGTCTCTGTTAGGCAGAGCGATCCAGAAGCTCTCGCTGCCCCGCTGCCAGTAAAATACTTGGCTTCAAGTCTTTGAAATCTGGGGCTGCGCACATGTTTTGCCCCCCAGAGGTCTCTGGGATGAGAAGTACTCAGGCTCCCAGCCAATTGAACTTTGCGATTCACTGCCTCATTGTCTTGATTCACAGACACGCACACGCACACATACCCGCACACACACACACACGCTCAAACAAGTACACACAGACACTCAGAGAGAGTTAGAATAAGTTAGACACATATACTGAAGGTTGAGCCAAAGGTGCGGCCCAGACGAGACACGACCTGAGCTGCCTGTGCCTCATACCAACTCTTCTCAAGCAGAGCACATGCAATGGCGTGATCGGCGCTGTCCCACCGCACATCGTGCTTTCAGACATGGCCCTGAGATTTTTTGCAGGTGGTGGTCATTGTGGTCTTTGCCGAGAGTGAGGACTCAGGCCGACAGCGTTGTCCTTTGCAGTTTTCCCTGCCTGTTGCCTGAATTTGAAATACATGCCACAAGTCTAAGTGTCCTCAAACAGTGCCACAACGGGATCTTGCATTCCGTGTGAAGAGAAGTGATTGATGTGCTGCACGGCTTGGGCGCAAGACTCTGCATCCGAAATGTATGATTTGTACAGTACATTACATGCTGCAAATCTGTCCCCGAGTCACATTATTTGCACATGATGCTCTCTCCCGCTGTGGTGCCGTGCATAGTTTTCGCTGGTATTCTGAAAGTAAGTATGTGTACGAGATTCCGTTCGGTGTGCGCGCACCGGGGCCAGGATTCATTACAAATGCTCTCGAATGTTTTCTGAATCCCGCCACTACATGGGGGAAATCGCCAGTACTTGGCGGAAAGCATTTTGGCAGTGTTGTCTCCTTCTGGTCTCCTGGTGCAGGTGGTGCTGTAGTGGTATCCTGGTCCTGGTCGTTGTCGTCTGGTCGCAGTGCTCGCCGTGGGTAGTGACATGCCTAAATGCTGGAAGAACACAGATTTAAAGTAGTTGCGACCTGTGTTGTTCCAAGCGATTCAGAAGGTGACAAGTTTCCAATGTGGGATATAGTCCCTCTTTATCATGCTCTCGGCTTGGCAGACTGCTGACCGGTTCAAGCTTTTGCGCGCAAGCAAGTCTGTGCTGTCGAGATCATGCTTTCGAAAGGTCCTTCTGGGGTCTTCGGTGGCCCGTGCAGCCGGTCGCATGATTCTGTGCTGATGTAGTCGCAGCGTGTGTGCACCTGCTCTCATGACACGTGCGCTGAGCAAATCTGCCTCTGGGGACTCCTTGGTATGTGTTCACATAGTACGCAGGGAGCTTGCAGGGCCTGAGTCTGCGTCAAAAAGGGGCAGAAATGCTGAGCGAGCTTGTGCACTGAAATGTAGACACTTCCATTAGTGCAGGCGAGACATGAGATCGAATGATCAGTCATTCCACTCACCTGCACTACCAGGATCTGCAAGCTGCAAACAAAACTGTGCTCGAGAGTAAATAATTATGTAGTTACTTGGTTTCATTTTGATATTACATGTAATACATGTCCTCCTGATTATTCCTTCGCATGTGGAGCAGCCGTTTTTTGCAGAAGCTAGATCTTGGCAAACTTCTGCGCGCCGGCTTCGAGTGAAAAGCTTTGCTCTCACGATCACCCGGCTAATCCTTGTTGCTGTTAGTCCGAGCATTGTCCGACTTAAAGTTAGAAAAAGGAAACCTGTCCTGCAATTGCATGACCTGGCTCGAGACGACAAAGAGGCAGCCGTCTAGAAGCATCTCCCGTGCCTTGCAGGCAGTATACTTTCGCGCCACTGCGCAAGGCGGCCATCAGCTGCTGCACACTTCAAGGGCCCTGGGAAGCCACGTCACCTAACCCTTGTTTCTTTCCTGGTCCAGGCAAGACCACGGCACTTGAACTTTGAATTGGCTTTCTCAACCTGTTCCACACTTTCAAACCACCTGTTGCTTACCAAGTAAAGAACCCGTTTGATCCCTCAAGAGTTTCACCAAAACCTGGCCGCTAAGCTGGCAACACTTCTCGAACAAGGGTACAAGTTGAACAAAAAGCAAACCTGCTAAATTGCCTGTTGCGATTGTTGGAGGTCCGTTAAAGACATCAGCAAATCCCGTAAAGAAAGGAATAAACCGAATATGCGTGAAATCAAACTATTGTCCCGTGTCCCTCTTTAACATGCTCAAATTCAGGGGCTTGGGAGGCCCTGGGAAACCTGAACACTGTAGCAAATGAAGCAGTCAATCAATCAATCACTCACTTTCTCAGCCCATGGAGCCCATGAACAGCCGAAAGAACCCATGGCTCCCCTAGGGCTCCTAAAGATTTCCATGCTTTGGGTTTGGGGTATTGACCGTATTGCGACGTTGTGCCATTGCCTGAACTTTCTTTCTTCTGTAGCTCACGTAAAACCCAACCCCTCATAGCTTCCCAACTCGAAGCCCTGCACCAAAACTTAGCTTTCACGAAGACCTACCCTCCCGCAAAGTAACATGGAAGGGGCCCTATAAAGACTTGCTACATTTTGCAGCATTCAAAGTGGAGCCCAAGAGCCAGGAATCAAGAAAAACCATAGGTCAGATGGTTTGGGCCAAGGCAAGCAACCGAACCTTGTGCAAGCCAAAGATCCAAAACATGCCCAACAATCTTCGACTGCTAACCAATACCAAATATCAAACTTAAACCCAAGCCACCGAAGTTTAAGGTTTATGGTTGCTCGATCACCAGAACCCTGAAGCCCAATAGTGGGCTCTCGCTGAGGAGCATAATACAAGCTGCGATGCAAGGCAAACCATTCGTTTCCAACTATTCGTTTGCCGTGTTTTGCTGCTATTGTCCCCGGCGGGTGTCGCGTTTGGGGTTCATTTTATGGGGCAGGGTTTCACGTTTGGTTTGTTCCAGAGCTTCTGGTGTAGGGTGTGGTTTGCATCTTGGATGGTTTTTGTATTTGGCAGAAGTCCGATCTTTCTTCCAGGATTTCCACGGCTTGCTGATGACGATCTTAGGATCCGGTTTGCGTTTGAAAGACACCAACAAACGAGTATTGCTGAACACTAGGCTTGACGGTATTGAGGCCTTTGAAGGTGTTGAGGTTTTGATTGCGTGGGGGGCATTGAGAGAACTTAGAGGTGTCTTGAGGGTGTGGGTGGATGCTCGTTCTTGGGGTTTAGCGGCTCTTGTGAATAAGGTCAGGGCGGTCTTGTGTGTTCGGGTTTGTACGTATTATTAGGCCTGTTGAACTGTTTATCATTGCTTGGGTTTAGCAGTGCTTGGTGGTTTTATCAAGGCCATTAGCGGCTATTAAGTTTTTGGCTTTCAGGAGATGTTTCTAAGTGGCTTTGCAGATTCGCCTCGGCCTCGGAGCCGCCTGGATTGGGTTGGCGAGGTTACGCATGGGGTTTGGTGTTGAGAGTGTTTGGTATGCTGACAGTTGCGTGTGTAATATGGCGTAATCAGACGGCCTGATGGCTGTTGAAGGCGATAGGGTGCTGTTCAAGGAGCTAAGGGTGCTCACGGAATGAAGGGTCTGGGAGTTTTGCAGTCCTTGAGGGTGATGAGGGATGTTGAGGGCATTGAGAGTGTTCAGAGCATTGGTGTTGAGAGTGAGGGTAACAGGGGTTTAGGTTTTTCTGTTGAAGCTGTTAGGGTGCATTAGGGTTTACAGGATGTAGATGGATGTGTTAGGCTTTAGGATGTAGGAAAAACATGTAGCCCCAGACGGGGTTTAAAAGACATGGGGGGTTAAAGTGATCGGCATGTGTGGGGGTTTGGGGTCAGGGAATACGAAGGACATTTCCGGCTCGAAAGACTCGACACCTTCAGACGCTGGCGCTCTCAGACCCCGGCTCGGTGGGCCGAGGCAGCGCCAGTTCCGCGAGGGTTTCACCCCCCCCCCCCCCACGAGGGTTTAAGTGAATTGAAGGGTTTCACCCCCCACGAGGGTTTAAGTGAATTGAAGGGTTTCACCCCCCACGAGGGTTTAAGTGAATTGAAGGGTTTCACCCCCCACGAGGGTTTAAGTGAATTGAAGGGTTTCACCCCCCACGAGGGTTTAAGTGAATTGAAGGGTTTCACCCCCCACGAGGGTTTAAGTGAATTGAAGGGTTTCACCCCCCACGAGGGTTTAAGTGAATTGAAGGGTTTCACC